AAGTATTATGCTACAAAGTATCTGCAAGATGGAGATACTTTGTGAAAAATGGTCTGCCATGCCATATAGTCCCTGAGAGAATGTTTTTTTTTTTTAACTATGGGGCAAATTTAATGCTTTCGAAGAAGTGGAGGGATCCATGGCCCCTGGTTCCAGTGTCCCTGTGACATGGATGAAATATAAAAAGAAACCAAGCAGTATTGTTAGAAAACTAAAGCACAAAGCCCAATACCAAATGATTGCCATCTGGCTCTTCTGTTGTATATAAACCTCTGAAAATTTGGAAAATATGTGTTATATTTTCCAAATTTATTGAATCCGAAGGAAGTGATGTACAAACAAGAAGGAACAATGTGGAAGAACAAGTATTTTCTGGGTTTTTTTTTGTAGTGGGTGGTGGATAGGCTTCTTTGTGTTGGCATGACCTTGGCCTGCCATATCCATGATTGTTTTCTGGATTGTCACATGGTTGCACTTGAGATAGGCCTGTTTTCATTGTTTCAAGTTTTCCGTGTCAAATTGCTGCAAATTTTCCATTTGAGTGATAGCAGAGAGTGTAGTGAGTCAGATTATATTCACCTGTTCTTTTCCAAAATATTTTAAATTTAGCATTTGACAGTAGGTGAACAAATAGCTAGTGAACTGATGTTTGGTGAAGATGTAGTTATACCAAGTCTTGTTTCCCTGCTTTCAGTGGGGATTGAAGGTGGTTGGGTAATGCTGACTGTGATCATTTAGCATACTTGCCTTGCTTGCAAATCCATTCCAGTGGTTGAGAAATTTCATAAGTTCTGTGATCTCTAGTGTCAGGAAACCCTGACAGTATCCATCAGTTAAACAAAGCCCTGTGATTCTTCTAACTTTTGTAAAGTGTTCAGTAATGGCAGTTTCCGATGATACTCGACCTGTCCTCCAGTCTGCATTTTGCGAGAATTCCACTATGCAGTGATAAGCATCTCTGTTGCTAGGCATGAAAGACCTAGGTCACCATTGTGTGTTGCTCTACTTTACACTGATAATCACATTTTGACAATCCTTTTTTTTATTTCCCTGAGGATATTTACCAGAATCAATAAAATGATTTTTTTTTAAAGAAATAAAGCAAATTTTAATTCGCCCTTCATTCTCTCCATGAAACTATCAACAGTTATGAGGGTGGGGAAGATGCAAAGACTTTCACAAAGGATGCACAAGCTCCCGTATCACTTGAGCCAAAGATGGGTCCAGTTGTGGAGAAAGTTCTTCGAACAAGTCCTGAGCTGCCTGTTGCCATGGGTCTGACCCTGCTATCATGAGCTCACCATACAGATATGCTCCCATTGACTGATGCTCTCTCAAGAATTCCAGGACATCTGGGAGGCTTTTCTTGAATCGATATTTGATCACAAGTTCACACCAGCAATGCTGGACTACAGCATTACAGTTCTTGAATTGGAATACTGCATTTAGTTGATGCAGAATGTTAGCACTCAGAGATTCCTTGCTCTTGAGTGTTTCGAGGAAGAATATTTGTTGCTCGGTGTTCAGATCTTTTAGGGAAGTTGAACTACTTTGAATTCCCTGGGTTTTCTGTTTCTGAGTCCAGTGAGTTATAAGATCTTGAACTGTGGCTGCAGAAGCATTGCTCTTTGGAAGAATGTGAAATTTCTTCACCCACTGTGGCAATTCTGCTCTCTTAAGCCATGATAAGCTAATACTGTCTGGATTTTCATTTTTTATGTTGGGGAAGCAGGAAAAGTAAAAAGCAAGGAATTCCTGAGAAGTGACCAAGAGCCCATGAAACTCACTTACATACTGCTGAAGAAATTGTAAGAATTCTTCCTTTCCACCACAAAGTTCAGACAGGTACAGTAGGAGAAAGTACCCCTTGAGATAGTGTAGCTGGAGAACAGACTTCTCAGGGTCTGCTCCATTCCTGATGCTAGTTGCATCCTCCTGACTTGGTGAAAGAATCTGTAAGTCACTCCTGGAGACCTGGAGTTCCTCATTGAGAGCACAGAATCGAAGATGTGCCTTCAACTGTTGAAGATCTGCTTGCATCTCAGCTGTGTCATGCAGATGTTCTGCATGGATGATATCTTCGAGGTAGGTGGCAAAGCCCTCACTCAGCCATTCTTCGCTCCAGTCCCGAGCTCCAATCTCGAGTCCAAACCAGGCGTGGGAGAGCTCGTGAGCGACTTGAGCTGCCAGAAATGGATCTCCCAGGATGACACTCTGGGATAAAAATATAAGTCCTGGAGATGCAAGGCCCAGACCAGAGAAACTGCAAGGAAGCAACAAAATCTGCAGTATATCTGATGGATACTGACCAAGTATTGCACATTCTCGCCTCAGGAAGTCATGTACCACTTTGCCAACAGTGTTTTCCAGGCAAGGCATGAGACTCTTTGGTGCAATCAAGTTTATGTGAACAGGGCTTTGACTAAGATGACGAGAGCAAGGATAGGGGTTGTGTCTGCACTTGATCATTTGATTGATCTTGACCTTGTCAGATACAAAAGGAGGCAGCGTGAGTATTTCCCAGAACCCAATAGCAATGGCGAGAGTTGAGATCGGAAGCACTGAAGAATTAAAATAATAAAATGTACTTTTGGACTCTCTGATGGGAAGGGCTGTCCCAGACATGACCACAATTGAGTTCTCTGGTGCCCTGACCTCAGCCTGCCAAGTTGCCATGGCAACAGGAGGCTCTTGACAAGGAAGAAAGGCTCTGTTGTTGATGAATGCAGCTGGAGTGAAGACACACCTGTTTCCATCCTGATCCTGACGCCATTGAAGCGATTCTCCCTCGATCGTCGTCCGATAGAATATTCGTACGGCTCGAGGGAAGTCATCGGCTCTTGAACAGCCTTGCTTGTGAATGTCCAAGCTCCACTGATTCACTTGAAAATGCAACTCTTCCACAGACTCCAGATGCACGATCTCTTCAAATGCAACCTTACTTATCCGCTTCCCTTGCCAATCTCCCAGATATTCCTCGATCTGGCTGGCAGAGATGCCTAAGGCTGCAACACGGAGTACCTCTAGGTCTTTGCAGTCTAATCTCAACACAAATTCTCTATTACTTAGGAGATCATTTGCCACAGGTGTGAGAAACAAGGTGAGATGTCCAGAGAAGCACTGTCTTTCCATGTCACACTCCAAGCAAATCAAATAATGATTGACCAAGATTTCCTCCACATTGGCCAGTAGGGGGAGGTCATGATTGTGATTCTCATGCTCTTCCATTTCTGATGGAAACTTTCTGCCAATGGCAAAAGGAGAATCACCAATAATGAGATTCCTTTCCATGAGGTAGGAACATAAATCTTTTTCACTTGAAAGAGGAAATGGAGCAGCACTTGGAGAGCATGTAAACTTCCAAAGAGTAGTTTATCTTGTAAGGGGCTATAAGAGCCATCCTTTGTATGACCTCTACTCTCTTCAATGCTGATTTTGGCTTTACCATTGATTAAAAAAATATAAAAAATGTCAAAAACTCATTGTTCAAAGCTGGTCCTGCAATGCCTTTGCCAGATTTCAACCACACCTATGTTTAATGACTTTTTTAAAACATCAAGCTCTGCCAAGAAAAAAGGCTTCAAAGATTTTCCCATTGATGAGCAGTTTAACCAGAACTTAACTGCTGATTGATTTGTTTAAAAAGATAATAAATGGTGGAAGTCAGGGAAAGTGAAGATATTCAATCAAAATCCAAAGTCCAAAGTCTGTCTGGAGCCACTGCATTTCCTGTCTCATTCCCTTTCCTCAAAGATGCAGGTTTAGAATTCTAAACAATTTTCCTCTGTTAAGGTACTAAGGGAAGATGAAAATCGATCCCCCTAGAATCAAATTCTGGCTTATAATTATTGTAGAGGACCCCAAGGCCTTGAAGCCACTTTTTGGCACTCTCATGCATTCTTGGCACCTGACCGTGGCGAATGGNCTTGCACATCCAGTGGAATTAATAAACGATTTCGGAACCATTGGAATCCTGAAATGCTCCCCTTAAAATAAAATTAATGTGTATACTATCAATTCCTAATAAAGTGGAGAAAAATGGTTCTACGTTTGTGACATGCCATAAAATTTCAAACTTTGATTCAGTAAAATCGTAAAGGATCTGAGGCGGTGAACAGATTCGCTTGAAAATGGTTCTGAAGCTTCCCCACAGATTTGAGTGTTGATTTTTTTAGATTCGCTCTCGTTCTCGAGAAATGACCAGGAATCTGGGGTACTATGGAAAAATAGAGGGATTTTGAGGTATATCATCGAACTTCCTGGGAGAATGGATCGATGAATCATTGTGTCCTTTGACACGAAGACGGACGAGGATGGTCTCCAAAAACTGGATTATGCTTTTTCCGGTGCAATGTTTCTACGGAAAATGAACGAGGGAAGAAGCGAATTCGCGAATTTTCACAGAAGGTGCCACGGCGTCTCGGAAAGCAGAGAGATGAGCAAGTTTTTGGGCTCGTAATTTAACATGTTCTGTGGCGAGGAAAATGGCACAAATTTGACGTTTCTGCGACCAAGGGTTGGGGAGATGCAGATTTTCAAAGAGAGGCATGCAAATCGTGACCTTTGACCATTCGCCACGGTCAGGTGCCAAGAGTGCATGAGAGTGCCAAAAAGTGGCTTCAAGGCCTTGGGCCTTGGGGTCCTCTACAATAATTATAAGCCATAATTTGATTCTAGGGGGATCGATTTTCATCTTCCCTTAGTACCTTAAGGTATGGAATCTCCACTCCTGTTACTTTTTTTGATAGCTGTAACAAACATACTACGTTGCCTAATTTCATCACTCAGTTCCTCTTAAAAAAATGTTTCTCCAAATTCCAAAAGGTTAACATAAATTTTTGGAATTCCACTCATTCAAAAGGGTGATAACATGCTCCTACTTTTACTAACAAAGTGCATAAAGTTGAAAATGTGAGGAAAGACCTCACTGACAGTGAGTCTCAGGGGTGCACAATTCCCTCCATTCCTCCTCACATCATTTTATAAAAGAAACAATTCAGGAGAATGGAAAACATTCATTCCAGTAAGAAAAAATTATAACTCTCTAGAAGGGTCATACAAGGTTACTATGAATCTGTAGTACATCATCTCGTTCCTCAAGTCTCTCACACATCTTATCCACATGCTTCAAGTGATTCTCAGAGATCGTGACGGGCGAAACGGGCAGGAATGATGCATCGGCCGACAGGATCGTGTATCCCCGGCCCTCCAGGTTGCACTTCACTTTTTGCAGATCTTGTGGGGAGCAAACAAACTGCAAAGGGAAGGAGAAAAAATCAAATTCCTCCTGTTATCTTTTCAAAAACTTACTTTTCCCAATTGAAACTAGTGATGGGTAGGACAGAGGGTTTAGGGTTACCTGAACAAGTTCATCTGGCCCCTCCTCTGCATCTTCACTCCCAGCCTCAATGGCATCCTCCAAGACTTCATCCCATGTCTTCTTTTTCACATTCTCTGCTTGGATGATCCCCTTCTCCTCAAACAAGTTTCTCAAACCGGAATCAGCCCAAGCAGCACTGCACAAACAAAAAAAATCAGTTTCTCAGGATTTCCTTCTTAACATCCCACAACTGCATTTTGTGACAGAAAATCCCACTTGGTTTTGTTAAGGATGTTGGTGATCTCCTGCTTGGTCCTCTTTAAGTTTTCCGTAAAGACATCCAGGAGAAACATGGAACCGCCAGGTCCTCTAACTTCCAGGAGGTATGGCTTGGCATTATCCTTGGAACTGGCCTTCATGGCATTTTGAATTGTGGACATGTTCACTCCTTTACTCTTTGCTGCTTCTATCACTTCTGCCAACTTGCTGTTTAATTTTATATCAGTGCTTCCACCTCCATCTTTAAAACGAAAAACAAATTAGTCCTCACAGACTCTACATGTGGATTTATAAGTCAATCTCCTTGCATGATAGTTACTATAGGAAAACTTCTGTTTTTGCATGCTCATTAAAAACAAAGGAATGCTATTTCTTGGGCATAAAAGATACTGCCACACAAGTAATTTTATAAAACAATCTCTCACATGATTAACAGGCATGGAATATCAGTAAATCTAATCCATCATATACATGTCCATTAAATGCAAAAAACGTAAATGACTTTTAAATGTCTTTCATCGAACTCCGAACTACTTTGAAGTTCACTAGAGCAGGAAGTAACGCCAGGATTCTGAAAAGTCCCCCGGCATAAAATTACCTTTCACAGCAGTGCGAATCAAATAGGCGAACTTGGCATGCAACTTGGATTTCTCTTCATCCTTTGCCATTTTGGTGTGCTTGATGTTCTGCCATTTGCTGTGCCCAGCCAAGCACTGAGGACTCAAATGCAAGCCCCTCCGCCAACTACATGGGACGGCAGTCGTGGGCAGAGGGATCCGCCTCAGCCTCACGAGCGGACGAAACATGATCTCAGTTGGAAGAGCGACACGACCACGTGCGAACGACCGGCGCCGCCATGTTTCGAATCCAACATGGGCGCTCCCTCGTGCGAACGCTCGGCGCCGCCATGTTCTTCCGACTCCAACGTGGCCGCGTCCATCGGGACCGTGAAGGCGACCCACGCGCTGCCCTTATGGGCGTCACAACCATCGTACCTGTCATCCCCTAGCCACCCACGATGTCGAGCAACGAGAATGCGAGAGAGAAGCGAAGGGAGGTACAGGAAAACGGAGACGCCGGGCCTGGCATCCCCACGGCGGAAGAGGAGATCGGAGGAACGGGCTTCTCGCGTCTCGTCCTTCTCCTCGCAGTCGTTTTCGTTTCCCTTCTCTTCATCGTCGGCCTCGCCTTGCAAATCGACTTCCTCCTCGAAAGTGAGTGCACCGTTCGTTCCCGAGCACATCGACACAGAGTTTTATTTTGTTCAGTGCAATGTCGACGGCAATGAAGTTAATGGTGCTTTGGGCATAACCTCAGTCTTTAAAGCCTGGGCCTATTGCAGGCAAATCAGAAGTTTTCTCGTTTGAGTTTCGGTCCGTTTCACTCGAATGCATGTCGAAAGCGGTGGAATGTCCGAGTCGTCAGAAATGTGAAACTCGGAAAAGGTTGAGCCTTGCCCTCGTCTGTTGACATTTTGTGGGGACGCTTCACCCTTTATGTTCCAGCGAAATGCTTGCGTCGGAGAGGCAATTGTAAATTGCGGATCGGTTGAGATTTTCGTGCGAGTTCGACTTGGAGGCGGCACAGAACGGGCGATCAATCGGAAAGATTTTCGTTTATTGCAGATTTAAGACTTCGCGGAACGACGAGAAATCCAGCTTCATCGGATTCGGTTTTCCCTCCGGACGACGTACGCCCACGCAAAAAACGATTTTCGGCAAGCGCAGCGAATCCCAGCAGGTTTTCGAGATTGCGATCTCAGATGTGCTGCAAGAGGCAGAAAGAACGATCCTTTGGCCTTTTAAATCCCCTCGGATGCGATAACGAGAGATAACGTCGTGCCCATCTTCGAGCACAGTTGCGCGCCCAAAAAATCCCAATTGGGGGGGGATGACATGAAAAATTGGTAATTCACTCTGCATATATGGGCAACAAAAATTTTTTTTTAGAATCGAACCTATAAAACGTACCCCAAGGGGGGGGGGAATTATGATCCCAAAACCCCCGCCCCCCTTGGGCACGAAAGAAGACGAGAGCAAGCCGGGGAAGAAATTAACGGGCCAGTGCCCCTCACGGAAAGGTGAATCCAAGGGATCCGAGAATTCCTGGAAAACTCGCCGATCCGGGACTCTCGGTTCGGCGTACAAAGCGGCGAAATCGTGGCGACCGATCTGCTGGAATTCTACGAGTCCCATGTCGTTTCCCGAGATTTTGCGATTTTTTCGACGCCGTTCCTCGCAAGAGGGCCGAATTCGCACCTGGGACCGCGAGGGTTCGCAGCGTACGTCATCGATTTCGATGGAAAAAAAAAAAAAATTCTCGCAAGTAAAATACCGATATAGGTTTTTCCCTCGGGGCGAGAGCCGAGACGGATTCTCGGCTTTTCGATTCGTTTCGATTTTCGGACGAGCAGAGTAAAACGCGGCTCACGAAGTTCGATAAGAGGACATTTAAACGACGACCGCATCGGTCGCAATGACGTCTTTGGACGCAACGAATGCAGCTTTGGTTCGACCCCCATTCAGAGCATTGCGTTCAATTTTGGAGACCTGCATAGAAATGCGATCCAACGGCGATCGAGAGAGTTCACAGGCGAGCCACGAAAACAATTTGGGAGGTATGAAAACTTAGGGAGGTGCAAGAAGTGTTCAGAAGTACTGGGACCCGTCTCATACTAGAGAGAAGGAGAGGGGGGGGGGACCTCATTCAGTCGAGGGAATCGATAACATATAACATGGTAGATTCTTCCAACCCAGTGGTAATAAAAGGTCGAGGAGGAACAAATTGTGTCGTATGAATTCCACGCAAGATTCGCGTTTCGGAACGACTTCCTTTCCTATGGGGCAGTTGAGGTGCAGATTGCATTAAGTAATGAAGTAGTGGCTGTCCCTACCAACTCGATTCAAGAAGTGGCTTCATGCCTTTGTGGACAAAATAAAAAAGAGAGCAGCATAACTAAGCAACTAGGCAAAAGGTAGTTAAGCTCCCACAAAAACTTTCGTCATTAAGAGGACCTTGATTCTCGAGCATTTCTTTTCTTTCATCGGGGCCTGATTTTTCTCACAGCCTTGAGTGATGCATTTGCCGATGCAAGCGTGCTTTTCCTGGGGACCACTAGAAAACTCAGGAATGCCACAGAAGGAATGTTCCAGTTCGCCGGCCTCTCGAACCAGACCGCAGGTGCCCTCCTCGAGTCGACCCTTCGAGCCACCTCCAACACGACGACGGAAGTCGCATTCACGATCGGGGAGTTCTTAGGGAAGCCTCGGGTGAGGGGACTGATCTCGTCCCTGGCGGCAGGAGCCGCGGTGACGTCGTTCCACTGGATCGTCCTCTATTGGGACAGCGACATCCCCGGCAGAAATCCTCCGGCGCCAGTTTCGCCTGCAAAGAGCTGGTATGCCTGACCTACATCTGTCGTCCCCTTGAGCACGTTTCCTGAAATTTGTTACTGTGATGACTCAGGGCCTTCTGGTACCATAAAATTTTGAGCCATACCTGGTTCTCATCATCCCACTGTGGGACATCTTTTATTTCCTGGAAATTTGAGGGTGGTAAGAGTCATACCAGTTTGTGATTAAGTTCTGCATCAGAAACTTTCAGTGTGTTATATAGGCCAATTTACTATGCAGAGACTTTCACTGACACAGCCAACCTAAGCCATGTCTGAATTGCTGAGAAACAGCTGCACCTCGAACTATATGCAACCTGGAAATTTCTTATCTGAACAATGGATATAACCATATAATCCTCTGGAAAGCATTGCTTCAGAAATAAGGCAGATGAAAATCCCTCAAAAAAGTTCTAAAAGAAAATATTCTTAATTTCTGAAGGAAAATGTTCTTAATGTTACCAAAATCTCTAGCCTGCAGAAATTTGCATCCCCCAGTGGAATGAAAGTCAATAAGGGGCATTGATGCCTTTTGCACATTTATTTGAGCAGCAAAAGTAGATGAAAGAAATGCTCTTAGTCCCAGGTTGATGTATTTGCTATGTATCCCAAGTATTTGCTACATGTGAAAGACAGATCTGACTTGAGTGCAATTTTACTTGACCAGACTTCCTGTCATCAACTACTTAACTAAATAGAAATTTCAAAACTTTTCCATGGTGGGAATGCCTTCTCTTTGGTGCCCACGGGGGTCAAAGGATCATGAAGTCAAGCTCTAACCATTGAGTTACCTTGATTGCATCTCTTTGAAGAAGGTTTCTCTATCCATTCAATTTTAAGCCCCTTCATCACCTACTTTCTGTCCTCGAGTGCAGTTACTGCTGGATATTGCATTTCTATCCATTTTCTGTCAATGTTGGCTTTGACATTTTCATTGAAGTCCATGAGAAGCAGAGTCCACATTTCAGTGAAAAGATGCAATCACTAAACGGTTTCCCTTGAATGCAGGAGGAAAAACGAGCTCCAGAAGGGAGGAGGAACCGGCCTCCACCTCAGCTACATGGTTGGCCTTGCCCATGGGATCCTCACTTCTTGTATGACCCTCTATTCTTTTTACTCTTAGAGCCTCGTTCCCCCTCGGCATCGTGATCCAAAGATCGCTTTTGCGTACCGATTACACTCAAGTTTTTAACCAAAGGAAATTTGTGTTCAATGTACATTCTGTAACATTCTCCGTGCCAAAGGTCTCACCCACTCGTCACCCGCATTAACTCCTCGTGCATGTCGTGCGAGGTTTCGATTTTGAGGTTGATTTCACATTTGGTTGGTTATTAGTTGTGTTTTTTCTTTGTCTGTGATCTGTTTGATATATCATCTTAGTGCACACCTGACAAGAGGTTCCCCCCTTTATAATATCCTTACATATCACACCCAGTAATGTGGGTGATTCTTATGCATGTTTGAAACAAAAAATTCAGCAGTGAGATTTTTTCTGCCAAAATGCAAAAGAACACGTTCAAATATTGTGATCTTAATACAGTGAGGAGGGGTAGGGAAAACGTGGCAGATCTCCTCCCACCCCAGAACCAAGGCAGCCTTATGCATCTATTTCTCATTTGTGCTAAAAGCTTTATTTTGGATCAAATGTTACAGGAATAAAGGCAATGCTTTTTTATTTTTTGCATGAAGCAAAGCCTGGAAAATATGCATTCTTGTAAATGTAAATGTGCCTGCAGAAGATTCACTGAAATTGGGGTAAAAGATTTATGTTTGTTCATGAAAATTATTCATGTATGAATTGCCCTCATGAATGTATTTCCTGCAAAGAAAGGAAAGACAGGGGAAGTAACACTGCTTTTTGATAGACTGACGGCAGCCTTTGTCCTGGTAGCTACTGCTTTGAAAATTTGACCACTCACCTCTTCTAACTTATGGATTAATTCTTGTCGTCTGGCACAACCCATGATGACCGTCACCACGATCTGATGTTACCAGTCATCTACCTGTGCTTGCGTGTGCCGTTTGATCGTTTGCTTTGCGTGTTAGCTTCTTCTCTCCTGGGTCATTTGCAAATTTTTTTGGCCAAACCAATCAAGAAGACTCAGATCCTGGATATGTTACTCCAAGACGTTCTACTTTCCCATACAGATTGTGACTATGCAACTGTCATTCCACACTATGCCAGCTTAGTTGCCTTTTTTCAGGATGCAAATCCATCAAGTTCCTCTGGGATTTTCTTGGGATTGAAATCCATAAAGTATGTTGCGCTGGTTTTTCCCTCCGTGCCTCATGTCACCCCCCCCCCCCCCCCAGGCATCGAGTCTCACTTCAAGAAAAACTATATTCCATGTTATGAGCTTCCTGATAATCATTGAGTAGAGTTGTTGGCTTGTTGCCAAGTATTTTTCTAGGGCACTAATCGCTGAATAAACATATCTTCATTTGTTTCATTGATGCGTGCCCATTCCCTCCATCCCGAGCCGGACCTCGAAGGAAAATCACATTTTGACGGTCGAAGACGATTAGCCTCTTCAGACTCGACGGCAAAATTGCATGCCAATTTTGAAATCCTTTGGCCCGTTGCCTAGGCTCCACCTCCGATGGTCGAAGCAAGAAACCCAATATTTTTATCCATCTTGGTATTGGAGGAATAGTATTGGTATCGGTGGGATATGTACATACCACCGAGTTTTCCTCCGTAGAGGTGAGCCATCGACGACGTGCATTTTTCGATCGTAAAAGAAACTTATGGAAGTCAAGGATCGTATTCAAAAACGTTTCTAGATCTCGTCACTGTCGTTGCACCAACAATAGCAGCAATCACACTGGATGATATTTCGGAAATTCGCGGCACTCCCCACCCCGCTCGCCAGGGAGTGGTCAGCGATCCCCTGGACCCTCCTTACTGCGGTTCTCACTTTTTCTCAAATACCCGGTGTGTGAACAGCACCACAAAAAATGGTTTATTTCGTGAATGAAGCGGGAGGCACTGACTGCAAATACGCACCTGAAACAATCATGAGTGATGGTTCGTACCCCCCCTCCCAGGATCCCCAACTGTCCATATCTTCGTCTCCTTTCTGGTCTTTCTGTTCGATTTCGCCAGCCTGGTGCCGGAAGGGCTACCAACAAATGTGAGGCACATCGATGCCACTGCATTCAAACCGATGAAGGAGTTCCACGTATTTGGACCCCGAAACGCAAATTTGCCGGTGCAATGCCTCGTGGCACGTGTACATCACACGAGAGCTCTACGATGAGTCAGATATCCCTTTATTTATGAATAGTTTCCCACACGATTTGCCGATGCAGTTCAACATCGTGCATCATAATTTTAAGGTCAACGACGAGCAATCGACTTTCACGATCGCAGACGACGTGGGCGGCCACATCGAAAGAAGCGGTTTCACAAAGCCCCTGCTGCGATGCAAACCGAGTCCAACGAGGCGCTTTTCTTTTGTTTTTTTTTTTTCGGGAACTCCCTTTAATTCGTCCACGGCTGACAGTGTGATCCGTGGAAAGAAGCGATTTCAGCTGGGGTTCATGTTCGGTACGTGCACCTGCCACAGGGTCTGAAGAGGTCGATCGAACGTTCTGCCGGAGTGAAAGTGCAAGTCACCTGTCAACACACACGTGTTGACACGCGCACACGCACACGCACACGCACACAAAACTGTTGACTTTCCATCGAGACCGAGGCTCGGAATCCCGTGGCGACGATTCGCGTCTCGACGTCCGTCACGAACGACCGAATGAGTTAGCAAAAAACTAAAACTTTGGCTTTTAAGTACTAACGACAGTCTGGCTGATTTTGGCTCTGCCAGATCTGGGCTAAAATATGAAATAGCTGTTGGGGACGTTATTCATACGCAATGTTTTCGCACTAGTAAAGATTTATTACACGTGATGATCCAAAAATACTTGGCTAACTCTTGTGTTTATTTTAATTTTTTTTAAATTACAAATTGATGCATTCCGTTTTGAATGAGTGAAAATGGCCAACAGGGCGAGTAGCTCATTTCGTTTATCGTTCGAGAAGAGGATAAGCGTTATTCAGTGCATCTGCGAAACCGAGAACAGAAAAAAGAGGAATTGGAACGGAACCGGCTCGGTGCCCCGGAGGAATCAGACCGGCGCACCGGACCGAGTCGGTCCAAACCGAATCGGCAACTGCGACCGACACCCGGAGTCGTGCAAAAAAAATTCGCCGACCGACCGACGAGCACGACACGACGCGGATCGGACCACCGGACGCGGATCGGACCACCGGACCCCGGATCGGACCACCGGTCCACGAAATCGAGCCCTCCGTACTTCAGGACCGCATCGAAGCTGAATTCCGCCATCTTTTCGCAGAAAAGTTTTGCCATTCCGCGCTGAAAACACCCCAAGAATGTGTTAACGTCGGGGGCGAACATTTCCATTTACCACAATTAACCAATTTATGTCGAAAGTAAATCATTCTGCGCTTGAAGTTTACCAACTTTTTTTTAGCCCTCCCAGAATTTCATTTATGTTCTTTTTTTTCAGAGAGCAACAGAACGCAAATCCGTGCGAAAGAAACGCCGGAAAGGCAAGCTTCGACCTACGATTAATCGATCGATGATTCGATTAGCCCTAATATATCCGTCTGCATTTCGCCCTCGTCAGAACCGGTCCATTTCCCCCTTCACTTTCAAGTAACGTGGAGTTCGAGGAAATAATTATTTGATGGATGGAGCACTTTTCTCTCGAGCCCGTGCGATCGTCACCTGCAAGAAAGCGGACGAGAAGGGACCCGAAAGCCTCTGGAAACCGAAGTGAGCACGGACCCCCGACAAAAATTCTCCTCTCGCTTCTCGAAAGCTCCCGATTTCACGGATCCGCCCTCTCACGAGCATCACGAGAGGAAACCAGATACGGAAACGAGAAACGAGAGCACAGAGCTCGTTACCTCGCGGGGCCTCTCCCCCCTCCGGAGACGCAGCAGCCCCGCGGATCCGACAGCGACCGCAACCGATCCCGACGAACACCTTGCCCCGACCCGCATCGAAAATCGCTCGCGAAGGAGCGACCACTCTCGGATCCCGGCCGAACGAGTCACTGACGCCTTCTCGTTCTCCTTCGGGAGAGACACGCATCGAAAGCGATCCCACGCCATCCGCCCCCACCCGTCTCCTCCCCCGCTCTCGGCGCGAACGAGACCAAGGTGACGCGAGGAGGTCGAGGCCAGGAGGGGATTCGGGAGGCGAGGAGGGGATTCGGTCTGCGAATCGGTCGATGCCGATCGAAGATCGATTCGTCAACGCGTTCACGGCAACTAATGATCAGTCGCTGAGTTGCACTCGGGATATATGTTTGGATTTTAATGTTTTCTCGTGAGTTTCACGATTTTTCACTCGACTTCGACACGCCCGAATACGGGTGAGTTTATTGCTATCTCTTGGCAAAATGTTTCTATAGTATTACATTCGATGGAACTGGCACGGCTTAGTGTAAAGACGCCGAACTGGGTTGCCCCCGGTATTGAAACGCGATCGATCTAGCGTCCATAAATAGTAATAAAAAAAACTGCGTCATATTGCCATTTTTCCTCAGCCAGTCACTGAATTGAGTTTCGCGAAGAGGGAGCACTCAGAAAATGATCACGAGAAAGTAATCACTCCGTGCATGTAACACGAGCGTGCTTGCATGCATTAATTCTCCGAGGTTGAAGTACGGTCGGTCGGTTCGCAGGACGCAGGACGTCCCAGCCCGTTAACCTGTTCGAGGCCCCAAGTGCGAAACTCGCGACCGCTAGCGATGCGCAACCCCAAACGGGCCAGAGTGCCGTAGCCGGCCGCAGCCCGTCGTCTCGGGACGAGAATGTTCCCGCCGAATCCCCGAGGGTCACGGGGTGGCTCGACGATTCCTCGTTTGGTGGCTCGGTGGAGCCGAGTTGGCTCTCCGTCGGCCTCGTCCTTCCAAAGAATTCCCGAGGTTTCGATCGTCTTCGAGGCCCTCCCGCGTGAATCGCTTCGAGACCTCTCGGTCGACCGGCGACGTCATCCATCGGTCGCCCTGGAGATTCCAACCCTTCGCCCGGCGGTTCGGCATGCCTCTCGTTCCTACGATATCGCCGGCCTGTGCGAGGCTCCCTTCGCCGATCGATCTCGGTTTTCCTTTCACCCCTGGCTACGCGGACGGAGACCGTTTCCCTCTTCGCTTCCGTCCGTCGCGCCATGCCTCGCGGCCGTGAGTCTCTTTCGGCACCGGCTCGGAAACCGCTCGACCGTTTTGCGGAACGACAGGGAGATTTGGAGGGATTCGCGAGACTCTCGACCGAATTCTCGTCCCTCCGTGCGTTTCCCACGATCCTTCGGGGGACAGACATCTGAATTACGTTGCAGGCGTTAGATTTCACACCCCCCCCCATATTATGCATTACGCAATAATGCGATTGAAATGAAGCCAAGAATGGTGTAATGAGAGGGCTCTATAATAAAAAAACGCTCTTGAGGTACAATTTTGAAACTGACAGCTTTCGTCGCCACGCGTTAAGAGCTTTCCAAAATTATATTAGAGCATTTAACATGCTTCGTATGGTCAATATCGGGGTCGAAAGACACCGAAAATCCCAATTTTCACAACTTTGCGCAAAAAAAGATGAAAACCTGCGCAATTCAGTGGAACAAGTCGCAAATCGGCATATCACCCAGCCTCACACGCGTTAACAATCTTGGGTGCTGTTCTCAAGATTCGAACGGGGAAAATTTTGGGATTACATATTCGAAAATATTGCAAACTTCGAAATGGAAAAAAGAAAAGAATTCCAAATCGTGATTACCGTCGGTAAGCATCGCATATTCGGGTACAGTATTTCTCTTCAAATGACTAAATCGGCATTGGAACCATGTTCATGCGAATATGCGACAAAGGGATTTGAAGCGGAGGTCCATTTGAGGGTCTGCAATTTTTTTTTTTTGGTGGTGGTTTAAGGGTAAAAAAAAGAAAAAAAAGGTGGATGGGTTTAAGAGCATTAAGGTATTACCATGGTTTTTCAGCAAATGAAACTTGCAATTTCCTTCCGAGTTTTCCAGCATAATTTTTGTCGTTTTCACGTGGAATGACCCAAAGGAAACGAAGAGTCCCCTCATCTCTAATCTTTATTTTATTATTATTATAATATTACATTTCTAAAAGTTCTCGTTGCTAGGAAATGGTCTTCCTCCCCAAGCAAGATCTGCTGCATGTTCTTAGCTATTGGGAACATGGTTACTGTGAAATGATCTAGCCAGGAACTGTCCCCGAGTTCCATGCAGTTAGAACCAAACGCCCACTTCCAAGTGTAATCGGACTGAATCGCTTCCACTTACTCTTCCCTAGGGTTCATCTCTCTAGTGCTTGTGGGCTTGTGGATCTTAATTGCCGCGAAAGGAGGAGGACTGAAAATACCGCGCATGAAACGAGCGAACATACACATGCATGTAAACGGTAGAGTCCATGGAGAAGTATGGAGCAAGTGTATCTGGGGAGGGGGAGAAATGAAGGGAACACAAAGGGAGCTGTAACCTAATAGCTCCATGGGCGCTACCTGGTGGCGGGAACGGTCCCTAACCGAACTGCCCTTGGGCTCGGGGAAGGTGTACCAGTCTATTTACGGACTCCCCTCCCTCTTGCAGAAGCTTGTCAGGTTGCCGGATCCCATTTCTTCGTTGCTGGCAATCGGGGTTTAATTGCGAGGAGTGAAGGAGAGCGGCGGACCAAATAAGCATTCCGAGGGAGTTGCCGATCGTTCGAGGGCCAGGAAGACTTCTAGATGGCGATTTGATCGGATAAGAATTTTACGAGTTTTAGGAAGAAAGGAAAGTCAAGCCCCCCGAAATGCGTGCCTGCTGCTTTCTGCGCAAATATGGCGTCTCACGTGTCTCGCACATCATGCTGGTGTCAGGGTTTTTCGAGCTGAGATGGACGTTCGCGAACTTTTGTGGATTAGTTGGAGTTGAAGGAAGCTAGGCCTGAGTAGATTGTAGAGGTTCTGTATTTGAGGCCCGCAATTTGAGAAGACCAGCACCATCCCTTTAAGGTCACCACCAGGACCACCTGGACTTGGTAAGAATGAGGAACACATGGAGAAAAATTAAGGAACGCCTGGAAACGGTGACAAGCAAAGGTTTTCATGTGTCTCTTCAGAATATTATCAGCTGACTACTTGGCACTAACTCCCTCCTTCTTACTCACATGGGCTAATCCTGTCCTTCGTTTGAGGGGGAGGGTTGAGTAAGAGAATCAGCATGTAATAGAAAATTAATTTGCTATTAAAATACGGGAGAAATACGTGACTGGCTATAAATATGGTATAAGATGCAGGTCAGGAGGAAATACAGAACATATTTTGATACATTTGGATTTAAGGAACAGGGATGCAAAAAAACAGGATAGTCAGCCACCTTCATCTTCACCCCCATTTCACAGGAATAATCCTAAATATAAGCTTGTAATAAGCTTCTATGTTGGTTTATTCCTACAAAATCCCATACGGATACTCTTGCCTGCTCTGTGCAAAAGCTCTGGTCAGCATGGAATTTTCTCAATGGAAAGGGGAGGGAGAGAATCAGTATTTATTGTGTATGGATGCAAACTGGAGCCACCAAAGTGCATGTCAATACTGTGTTGGAAAATTCTTGAGTGAAATGAGATTGAAAGGAGGGCATGGTTTGTCAGGCATAATTGTTCACAGGAGAAAAGAATGTTTCATTTCAAATTTCATTCATTCATGAAAGTCTAAAGGGGAAGTGACTGGGTGACATCCTATACTTCAAATTTACCCAAGACTGCTATATATTCCTGGATAATGTTATGCATTTAATTGCTAAAAATATTTGGACTAGCTAACAAAGAAAGAATAAGACAAGTACCAGGTGTTGCACATTAATAGCCCCCCCTTCCACAATCTAAATGATAAGAACTAGGGAAAAAACTCATATATCATGAGAAAGGGCATTTATTTTCAAATGAAAACATGTACTTATAGTAATTTGTGTGATGTGTGTCTGACAAGCTTTAAGACGAGTGGGGTAAGATAAAAAGAGATACTTGAAGAATTTGGTGCCATCTTCCTTGTTCTTCAGCACTCTGGTGATGTTGCTTTGCAAGGCTTCTCGGGAGAATCCATGCTGCTTGCCCTCCATATGCATGAGAGCCTCAATTTGATCTTACAGGATAACCCCAATGTTCCTAGCCACATTCAGATCAGGAGAGTTTCCTGACAATTCTGCATTTCCAAAGGAATCAGTCATGGAGTCTTTCAGAATTTGCTTTGTGGTCAAAGCTTTGAAAAACTGCTTTATCTGGCAGAAGCTGAATGTTTAATCTTTTTATAAAACCCATGAATGGGTAACGAATTCAACTCTGGCATCACAAACTTCTCAAAACATAATAGCACAGATGCAATCAATGACTATAAGTTTTTCAACATCGTACTACATCAGAAACAACAAACTGAGTTTGAATAGAACCAAAACTGAACAAGGATTCCAAATATATACTTTAACATTTTCTAGCTCCTTTAGTTTGAGCTATGAAGGGGGAGGGCTATCTATGTACAACACCCAATATTATTGGCCTTGGTGAGACTTGCATGACAAGTCCATGTCATTATGAATGGAAAAGGTAGTAGCTGTCAGCCATCAACAATGTCAGAGCAATAAGGACATCAGACCCCTGCAGTCCAATTGCAACATTATTTATATGCAACACCTTTGACATGGACCATGCTTTGTCATGAAATCAATTCTATTGACATGTATGTGATGGAGGTGATTTAAAGTTTAAAGTCTTGCAGCATACATTGTAAACAGCTATCATGTTACAATGAAAAAGGCCATTTCTACTATAGGACCAAGGGAAAAAATTAATTCATATTTCAGGCGTGAAAGGTCAAGAAGTATTCAGTAAGCTGAATTCATAAATTGACATGAGTCTGAATCATGTTGATTTCATTACATTCTTTTCTCCTTCATCCACTTGGCATCATACATCCTTTGCATGTTGCATTTCTTTTAAAACAATGCTCATAACAATATGAGGCCACACCCTTGTGTTGAGTCTTGCCATCCATCTTGCATTCTTTTTTGAGCTGCAAAGTGTCTACCCCACTCATGTAGGCCTAAGTGTCCATCTGATAAATAAAGCATAGGCTTAATTACGATTTTTCAATGTGTCATTTGACAGGGAGCTTTTTATTTTGTCTTGCAGGTTTTGTGGCCACCTGAGGTTGGGAACCGTGGTGTAAGGCCTTTCAGTGGAAGTTGGGTACAGGATTTGCATTGAGTCAAACATTTTGGTTCAGATAAATCAACTGTGCCCTGAGATTGGGTTTTTGGCATGAGTGAACTAACACCAGAAGAGGTAAGACCCTATCCCCATACTGATAGGCCTAGATTGAAACATAATTCATAGAAAGTCACCTGGAACTGGTAATTGAGTCTGCCCAACCTCATTAGGCTAGCCTTGGTCCATTTCCTCTGCTTTGGCCTGGAAGGCCCTCCTCTATTTGACTTCTATACCCAAGGCTTGTTGAATTTCTCAAATGCCTCTTTAGTACTTTCTCATTATACTTATAGTAGTCAAAATAAATCTGCCAAAGTCAGATGCCAAAAGGGTTGAATGTAGAAAGGAAGATGCTGAGTATTTTCTTCTCATATTTTCATGCCTATGCTTGCATTAATAATTTTTATTCATGATAGCTTGATATTTTCTGTTAAAATGATATCAAAATTTACATTGTTATTATTGGAATTGTCCATATTTTCTGAGGATGTATAATTTGTAGTTATCATTAATTGGGAATAACAGGACTCAAGGGAATAATGGAACCTATTGCTTCATGCTAAGTGAGCTTAACATGAAGTAGTGTGTTTGCCAATTTGGAGAGTAGCTGAATTCAGCCAAATTTCATTAGGTTCTGGTTCAAGGATCTCACATCTGCATAGTAGGTTGGGAAATTTGCATAGGATATGTGAAATCTAGTCCCATTAGTGTTTATAAAGATGTCTATCTTCTCTAAAGTTATTGCCAGAGGTGAAAAAAGTTCTGTAACCTGGTAACCCCAAGAAGGTGAACAACCAATGGGAATGCAAGGCACGGAGAAGCAATATCAATGACTGGGAAACTAGGAAAGTAAACCATGGTTACTGAGAAGCAGAATAACTTTTTCCACCTCTGATCATTGCCATGCATTGATTTCATGCTGTCCAGTTTACTTTTACCTCGTATTTCCCTGTTCACTGAAACTAAGTGAATGAGTGATTTCATATCATACGTTTGAGTGATTTCATATAAGTGGTTTAATTGTTTCAGTTTTAGTCTGAGCTTAGTGTTAGTTTTCTCTTTGGTTAACAGTGTCTTCTAAACTGAAGGGAACCTAGAGTTTACTTATTTTCCCAGTTTGTTAACTAAGAAATAAAAAAATCCCATTCTGTATTTATGATTTCTTGATAAACTGAAATCAGGTTCCAGTTAACATCCTATGCATTTCATAAACTAGTTCCATCATTCTTAGTCTAATTTCAGTTTAACTCTATTTCAGTTCACAGTTTTAGTGCAATAGACAAAAATTAAACTAGATGAGTGACTTCACTCTGTCAATTTATTTGTAGTTTCTCTCCAGTTTTAGGTAAATTGAGATTAATCAAAACTAAATTAAACTGGTGACACTTTCACAGAGTGTACTCCTGCCCAAAATCTAGTTTCTGCTAACATAATCTGATAGGGTGGCTAAATTGAAACAAAACCATGAGTTTCACTCCATTTCTGTTTTAGTTCATTTCCAGTTGACTATGATTCAATAAACTGATCTGAAATGGGACTTGAAACCAAACTGAGTCTGAAAGTATAACTCGATTTGAATATGGAATATTGCTTGGCCTATCCATGTTATAGTGTGGATTGCTTCAATATTGCCTGATCACATGTTCTTTAATCCTTTGTGGAGAGTGGGCCCCCATGGTGTTGGACCTAACAGTCACATAGTGTCTCCTATTGAACCATGACTAATTTTTATTATTTTTTATTTTTGTAGATTCGCCAACGAAGATTGGCCCGCCTTGGAGTATCAGCCTCTTCATCACCCTCTAATGAATCAGCAACTGTAGCAGAGAAACAGGAAGAGTCTTTCACCAAAACTAGGGTATCTGAAGAGTCATGTGAACATGAACTCCCTGGCAATAAGAAGCACAGATCAGAAGATGTTCCATCACTTCCCCCAACACCAAGCTCATCTCAGGAAATTGGGATGGAAATTTCAAGCCTTCCCCGGTTAGGAAGTGCAACCAGGCGGCTCACAATTACAGGTGAAATTTCAGTCTTTTGCTTGCCTAAGCCTAAAGTTGGTTTGCCTCTTCAAGCATTTCAGTTACTGCAACATTTGTTGGGCTTGTGCTTTGAAGAACCGACAGCAATGGAAACAGAGGAGGTGAGTCAAGACCAATGGAAGCAATCGGAGGACACAAAGGTATCTTTGCCTGACAACGATTCAGGTATTGAAACAATGGAGGTTGAAGAAGCTTCTTACCCAGCTCAGGTAAGCCTGTGGACATTCAAGAGCAGCATTTCCTGTATAGGTATATCAGTCAAGTAAGAATTTTTGTCATGTATTTTTTCCTGACTTGGTTTGCAAACTTTGACAGGACAAAATTGGGATGGAAGAAGTGCAGGAGCTTCTTTGCACAGTTTTAAAAGTCACACTCAAGGAAGATCAAGAAGCAGATGATGGGACGAGTGTCGCCTGCTCGCGTCCTTACCTCCGAGAGACAGCTGCATCGTTGGCTCAGACATACCCCTCAAATGGAGGAGTCTTGGATCTCGTTAAGTGTGCAGTCAATGAAGGAATTATAGAACTGTTGGGAATGGTCAGGCATGGAGAATCCACATGTGATGTGCACCTTCCTGAAGGTTGGTCTTTGATACATAGAGCCTGAAGCCTTTTTCTCTTCTCTTATATCATCATTCAAGTAATTATTAACTTTGGATGCATGATTTGATGGATACTCTCAGGTGAACCAGATGTAAACGGGTTGATTCTTGAGCATTTAAAGACAGATGAAGGTTGGGCATCACGTCTTCTTCTTCAGTGCCTCATTCAGACTTACCTCCAGACCAAGATACCCTTGGTTCGTTCTGACCTCCTCAAGATCTGGGTACAGCTTAATTTCTTTGTGTACATTTGTGTATGTGGGGTATCAATCAGCCAGTGTAAGACTGCTTTCATTCTCTACAGAAGAAGAATGGTGAGCTGCTAGATGTAGCCCTGAGGGAAGTTCGTGCACAATGTTCCCGACATGCTTTGCTGCTGATTCTCGGGAAGAGCCTAGTTCCTGGACCACCCTGTCACGGACTCATTCTCCAGTATCTCTTTGCTGGCTGTCTCCCCAATGGTTTTCTCCTGGATCTCCTGTCTTGTGCTCAGGAAGAGGGTCTTGAAACCAGGGCTGCCCTCATCAATCCCATTCTGGATCATATCTTGGACATGGTGCAAGGCTCTGCCTTGCAATCAAAGACATTTGAGCAGCCTCTTCGCCTCCTTCAGGAACTCTGTGAAATCTCAGTAAATGTTCGTGGAAAGAAGGTCTTTCCCTTCTGCTCTCAGCTGGTTTTCCTGGTAAGCTTTTGCCTCTCCTCACTGGCCATTCAGTCGTTGCCCCATGCCAGATGAATAGCCTTGGCCTTAAAAGTGGCTTTTGTTTAATCTGGTTATTATATTTAACCTTTTGAGATGCATTCCTGTAATTATACATTTTCTTTACTAAGTTTCGATGTCACATTTTGTGTAAATTACCCGTTTTGAGTTTGCTGAATTTTTGCATTTCACATGCTCTAATTGACTAATGTCTACCACATTATGGTCACAAACTTTTGAGATATATGGGTGGGCCAAAAAAAAAAACAAAGCCATCATTTTTTTTATAAATTGTCAATCTGATTGTATGCAACCAATTTGGATGGCATTTAGTATGCACATAGGGTGACTCAATTAGGGTTAATATGCCAAGTTTAAAGTAAAAATTCGAAAAACCATGAGATTGGCATTTAATTTACTTTTCATCACCAAAAAAGTAGATGTTCATTTTTTCTTTCATCTTAAATATTCCCACAACTGACAAAAACAAACAGAACAAAACAGATGCACAAATGGCAAACACAAAAGCACACAATTTGGTTTAAGGATGTACATTTCAACTGAAAAGGTGCTCAATGTGCCCTCCATTCTGTTGTATGCAAGCCTCTAGTCTGGGACACCATAGATCAATGGCTCAGTCAATAAACCTTTGAGACAGTGCCTCCCAATCTTCCTTTGTAGCATCATGCAGGGATGGAAGGTCAATGAATTCAGACCTCCCTTTCATCCCTGGTCATATCAATATTTTCAACAGCACATTTTGTTGTTTGTAATCAGAAAAAAATTACAATTCCTATAATTTTAAAGTCAGGTGGCTGAAATTTGGCATACAAACTCCAATTGTGTCATCCTATAAGTCTACCAATTTTAATCAAAATCAACAGCCTGCAAAGAGATTGACAATGCATCAAAAATTATAGCTTTGTTTTTTTTTTTGGCCCACCCTGTATATTGTTGAGGAACTCAAATTTTTTGTCTCCTAGGAGTGAGAAGAAAACACATTCCTGTATGGGTTAATGGATGTTGGTTTTATATTGTACTTATAATTCTTATTTAGTTATGTAATGATGTAAATAGAATTATGTTTATGAAGTAATTTTTAATCCTCCAAGTGCAAGTTCTGCACTTTTAATCAAAATTAGTATGGCTCACAGGCAAGTTCATCAAAGCTTTGCTCATGAAAATTGATCCAGTAGTTTGATAAGGCTGTCTGAGCAGTTCTTTCTGTATTCATTCTATCCTACATACTTCTATGATACAATATACTTGATTTTTTGGGAGATGAAATGTTTATGTTCTCAATCATTTTGAATTCACGTGCTTAAGAATAAGCTAAAAAAAAAATGAAAAGTAAAATTGAGGTAGAGAACATATCAAAATAAAATACTTTAAACTGAGTAGTCAAGACTGAAAAACCCTCCAAATCATTGGAGATATGGATTATTTGTGCTGGTCTTGGTTACACATAGCTGGGTAGGTATATTTTCATAAATATTACTGATGCTTTATGGTGTCAGGTCCATTCTCTCTCATCCTAGAATATTTTGTGGCAGAAATGCTGTCAGTATAGGGTTGAGCTCAATATGATTACTCATATGTCATTTGATTTTCTGAAACCTAAATATCTGAGATCTTCTATTGGTTGTTCTTCAAATGAGTGGACATTTCATGTACAGGATAACAGTCAAAGTCCAGTAGATCTCCCCCCATCTCCCATGAATAGTTACTGCTGTCATTGATTCTTAAAGCAGCCTGTCAATTTCTCTGGTTAGGTACATTTGTTCCTAACAGTGCATGCTGATTCAGTGGCTTGGTAAACAAGTGGGTTAAATAATCATTAGGTAGAGCTGGGTTCTACTTTCATGGTTTTGTTGGCATTAAAGTTGGAATTTAAAAGATGTAGTTAGGTAAGGCTTGTTGAGTTTCAAGCCTGCTTTGAATGCACAGTAGTAAATAGTGTGGGAAAAGTAAGAGGAATATGCTGGAAGGAGTAAAAAGGGGAAATAATAGCTGAAGGATGCTCAGAGGCAATGTGAGGGGATGGTTCATGGTTGGGATGAAGGAGGGACGATGATCCACGAAACCCTATGCTGCTTTTTGATAATAAATTTTAATTTTGAAATGCATTTTCTTTGATGAAATTTTATGTAAAGAAACAAGTAGGTGAGAAGCTTATAGCAGTGGTATTCCTGCAGGTGATGTAAGCTTTCAGCTGACATACACATGTAGGCGTACAGCCACATAAACAAGGAGCTTCAGTCATTTATTTATTGAAGTTGACTTTCCCAAAGCTGGTTATACAATTCTCTTTGAAAGAGCCCATTATCTTTGTTTTGTGAGGTATTGGTGTATATTGACCATTTCACTGGTATCCCTGAGAAATTCCTAGACTAACCTTCCTTTCATATCGTAAAACTCACCAGTGAAATGTCAAGATAGTAAATAATGAAATTATGATAATATTGCAGAAGAATTGGGACCCAGAGCCGTTGACAGAAGGAGCTAGAGGAAGAGAATTGGCTTTTCTCTCTTACATGGGAGGATTCTTGAATCTCTCTCCTTTCCTGGAAGATGATTCTCGTGTGGCTGATCATTTTTTCCCAACGACTGCTTCGCCTGATCGAGTTCGTGTTGCCGTCCCCTCCATCCGTGCTACCCTTGCCTCATTGAGAGTGAGACCCCCAGCCCCATCTTGGTTTCCTCCATGTCTTGTGGATCTGAATGCATGTAATTATGAAATTATTTTTTAAATCATAGCTGCACCTCCCAAAAGTGTTTCGGTGCCTATTGGTGAATGGTGAATCTCGACAGCGAACTCTGGATTACATGGCCAAGATTGTTTCCCGGAATGAAAAGAGGGCACAGCTACAGGTTGATGAATCAGCTGTAGCTGGTGATGGATTTATGCTCAACTTCCTCTCTGTGATGCATTATCTTGTCACCAAGGTCATTTCTATCTCTATTTCAAAAAGAAAATCATTAGTGCAGATGATGCAGTTTGAAGCATGTTTGTGTGGATTGTTTGTTTTATCTGTAGGTCCCCTTGGAGAAAGTGGATATATATTATCCATTTCATCCCAAGTCTCACCTGGATATTAAGAATGCAACGAGGCTCAAAGCCACATCTCAAGAAGCTTCTACCTGGCTGGATCAATTGGGTGAGCTCCAGAACTTTCTTTCTCTTCCCTCATGCTGTGAATGTGGTTGGGAGCAATGTTGTAACTTTGTCACTAATTTCAATATGTGGATGAATAATGTATGTACTGATCATAAGCAGCTTCCTAATGCCTCAAGGATACATTCTGATGGTTGGTTTTATAAGAAAGTGATAGTTTATGTGATACTGTTGTCTAATTTGTGAGATTTATTTGTAATTAGAACTAAGTTTTGATTTGACCCAGTAACTTTACCAATCATTACTGTTACTTCAGGAGCTGATATGCCATCCAGAATAATTTCAAGAAATCAGATATATGTAATTCAGTTTCTGTATAAATAGTGGTAATATATGGTTTTCAATGTTTTGCCATGCAGAGAAGAATGTCAGCCACCAGTGGAAGGATCCTAACTTCAATAGCATTTGCTGGTTTCTTACCCTTCACACACTACATATCTCCATTGTCCCTACTTGTCGGCATTATCAACGTCGCTTGAGGAATCTCAGGGAAATCAAGAAGATGGTGAGACAGAAACTCCTCTTTCTACTGTGATCTTAATCCCTTAACTGGGTCAACTGCCTTTTAACATCTGACCTCCATTTTCTTTGTTAAGGGTTTAATGAACTAAATGGAGAACATTGAGCTTGAGGATTCTGCTTTCTTTTTAGTTGGAGGATCTACAGAACACAGAAGAGCAATGGAAGGACACGCCCTTGGCTGCCCGTCACAGGACAATGATGAAACGCTTCTCACATCAAGTCAAGGTCTCCATCTTTCATCATCCCTCATGCCTGATTGGTTTTTTCCCCTTTTTGTGTTGAGGATTATTGCCAATTCATGTTACTGGCACTGTAGAAGCTGTATCGCAGCAAGGCATGTTCAGAAGCAGCTATCTTGGATCCTGATTTGCTGGGCTCCTGCATGTCCTTCTATTCGCGGGTGGCTGTGTATCTTCTGAAGCTGGTCAGAGAGAAAGGAGAGAGTACAGTTGATCCCAGTCTACCACTCCCATCTCAGGTCCCATTCCTGTTTGCTGCCTTGCCCGAGTGGTACATTGAAGATATTGCTGAATTCCTTCTCTTCGTTGTCAAGTGAGTAGTCCTTTAAATCTTAGGTAGACATTGTATCTTGTCTGTGGGGCATTTCTTTTGTTGTTGGTGTTGCAACTGTGTGAAAATGATAATGAGCATTGCTCTAAGGATCATGAAACATCAGTGTCTCATCAGTGAGCAGGAACTCATAAGTTATGACTCAATAGAATTACTCCTAAAGTAAAATTAGGTTGATGAGGTCTTTCTTATAGAATTTCCTGATGATGAGTTTTGAACCTTGAGCTGTACTACTTTCACATTTTCAGTGTTCAGCCTTCAGTAATAGAAGACCATGTGGAGAACTCCCTCATAGTCTTCCTGATCGTATTTGCCTGCTCACCTCAGTACATCGCCAACCCATATCTAGTGGCCAAGCTCATTGAGGTTGTGTTCATTCTGAACCCAAGGGTTCAGCCTCACTGTGAGGTGTTTTATCGCCGACTTATGAGCCATCCATTGGCTGAGGCTCATCTTGTTCCTGCCCTCATGAAGTTCTATACAGGTAAGGCTTTCTTCCTTCCTCCATGACTTAATTTTTGTCAGTCTTATCTTAAATGTCCATTATTAATTTATTCTCATTAAGATGTGGAATCAACTGGTGCAAGCTCAGAATTCTATGACAAGTTCACGATCCGATACTACATCAGTATGATCTTCAAGAGCATTTGGGACATGCGCAATCATCATGATGCAATGGTGCGTGAATCTAAGTAAGTCCAAATTCTTGCATCTCATGGCTGCTCTTTGTGATTCATTGTTTTTTTCTACACTGGTATTGCTGCATTTATTTGTATAGTTCAGGAAAGCAGTTTGTGAAGTTTATCAACATGCTTATCAATGATATGACCTTCCTGTTGGATGAGAGCTTGGATTCATTGAAAGTGAGTGCATATTCAAAAACTCCATTCTATAGGGTGCATAGAAAGTTTTGCAACCAAATGTAAAAAAAAATTTTTTTTTAGTAAATTGAAGTCAAAAATCACTGGTTGAAAAAATAGATATGATAAAAGAGACAAATTAGGACACTATTGGAAAACAAATTAAAAGTGATAAAAAATGCAATTAAAAAAAAATAATAATTTAGTTGCAGAACTTTCCATGCACCCTGTAGTGAAGCAATTAGTGGGGAATCTCACTTTCTATTTTCCTCCTTTCATCTTCAGCGTATCCATGAGGTCCAAGAAGCTATGCAGAATCCTAGCTGGAAAGATGAGTCCCACGAGAACCAGCAGGTTCAGGTCCGCCAGCTGGAATCCGATGAACGTCACTGCCGGTTTGTTGACTCCCTTGTGGTAGCTCATACATGAGCTTAAACATAATGCAAGTGCTTGTCACTTTGGACAGATCTTACCTCACATTGGCACGAGAGACTGTGGACATGTTCCACTATCTGACTGTCGAGATCAAGGAGCCCTTCCTTCGACCTGAGCTCGTTGATCGTCTTGCTGCTATGCTCAACTGCAACTTGCAACAACTCTGTGGGCCCAAGTGTGAGTGCCTTTTGTCAACACTTGTCTTTTTTTTTCACTAGTGCTGTTCAAGCAGGGTATGCATATTTTCGGAAGAAATGTAGTGTGTGATAAATTTGAAAGTAGTTGAAGTGTGAGTGATGGACCATTGCAGGCAAAAATTTGCGGGTGAAAAATCCTGATAAGTATGGATGGGAGCCACGAAAACTCCTGGATCAACTGACTGATATCTACCTTCACCTCGACTCAGATGCCTTCGTCCGTGCTCTTGCCAATGATGAGGTTTGAATTTTCTCAGCAAGGCATTTTCTGTGTAATGATTCACATCATGCATATGGACTCTCCTATTACAGCGTTCATTTAGTCGAGAGCTGTTTGAAATTGGAATTGCTCGAATGAAGTCGGCTTGTATCAAGCCCAGCACACAGATTGAGCATTTCCAAAACCTTGTTGAGCGAGCCATTCAGCTCCAAACTCTCAAGAGGAAGCAGGAAGTGGATTACAGTGATGCACCAGACGATTTCAAAGGTCAGAACCATTTCTCCCCCATGCATGAGGCTGGAGTCTTGGGAATGTGAACTTAAACATTTTTATGAATTACAGATCCACTGATGGATACCCTGATGACAGACCCAGTGCGGGTTCCAACCAGTAATACAGTGATGGATAGATCTGTGATCTCTCGCCACCTCCTCAATTCCTCCACTGATCCATTCAGCAGGCAACACCTCACTGAGGACATGCTCATCCCAGGTAAGACTGTCCAGTACTTGGCTCATTTGAGGACTTTTATGGCAACTTGGTCCAAAACTCTGTTGGTGGACTTGCAGAGCCTGAGCTGAAGATGCGCATTGAGGCATGGTTGAAGAAAAAGACCAAGAAGGTGTCGAGTGAATCTGAAGAGGTGCAAGATGATTAAAGCTACTGAGGGTCTCTGATATCTGTAGGCATCCATGACAAAGAGAAGAGGATTTTTTTTTTCTTCCTCAAAACAGTCTATTAAATGAGGGAATCTGACTCCTCTCTTTCTCATAAGATTTCAGATGGTACTGTGAGCCTACTCTTATACTTCTTGAGATAGCCTGTGCTGCACCCTGTGGCTCTTGTAGAGTGAAATATATTTTATTCTCAACAATGTCAAAATGGTTTTTGTATTTCTAGATATACCAGGGATGTCTTACATTCAGAGATCACAAAAAACTCATTGGCAACACACAGGTCACAACCATGATAGCACATGAATAACAGATTCAGACTGATTGCATGAAACACTTTTAATGGAGTGTAATGAGAACCACCAACTCATCACCTAGCCAGAGATGCCAAAAGAGGCAGAGACTTAGCTGGAGCCAGGGCCACAGCCAAGACATAAAGGATTCCAAACGTGAGGGTCAGTTGTGCTGTTCTCTTGGGAATCTGCAGTGGCACAGGTGAGAGAGCTCGAAAGTCCTTTTCTAAAGTGAATGCACTCTTCATGGACAACAATGGAAGAAAGAACCAAGCAGAACAGTGCATGGCCCACAGCGTCACGATGATGAAAGGCGTGAAGAGCAGCAGAGCATAGAGAACCTTGGAGAGTGTTGGTCCTATAAGGATGGCCAGAGTCACGATCCCCGCCCTCCTGTCGCTTTCCATGTCTCTGGTGTTGTTGCTGTGTAGGATGGCCTCAGAATTGAGCGCCAGTGGCAAGGCATACACGATGGTCGCCCAGTGGAATCGCCCACTCTGCGCCATGAACGAGAAAACCAGAGTGACTGGGCCAAAGATGATTAGGACCAGCACGTCCCCTAGGGCGATGTACTTGAACCCCACCCCACCTGTGTAGAGGAACGAGCTGGACAACCCCCCAAAATAGACCAGAGCCAGGTGTTCCATCTTGGCAGGGGACAGCGCCACAGAGCATACAAACCCCAGGCACCCTAGTCCATACAGCACAGATGCAAGGCTCACCACCTCATCCTTGCTCAATATGTGGTCGACCAGCGTCCGATCGTCACTCTTCTTGCTGTCGATCCCCTTTACGAAGTCGTAATAAGTATTGACGAGATTCCCAGCCGCATGAACCGACACTGCAGTCATACAAGTGATAAACAAAATCAGGATTGAACAATCTGATGATGTTTTATGTGCCAACGCACTCCCAAGGAGCACAGGCAAAAGACTAGTCCCAAGGGACCACGGTCGCAATGACACGAGGTACGAAGACAACTTCATGAAAACCGAGGATTTCGCTCCATTTTTTAACGAGTTCTGCCGTGCAGACATTTCAACCCCTTCTGCCGTCGACTCGGAGCCCCCATTCACCCGATTCTCATCCTCCATCCTCCCAGGCCGAAACTCTCCACCTACCATTCACACCATTCTCACCTGTCAATACCAGAAAGAGAACACCCTTCACCATCTCAAGAAGCCTATTCAGAAAATAGGGCACGGCCTAACCCCAGCAAGGCACACATGGCAGCAGCCATGACGCTGATTGCTCATGCGGGGCACCTCGTTTTCAAACTTCCATCTTTCATCATGGAAATCATGTCTTCCTGCTTCATCAAGACAGCCCAAATTATTGCCAGCCCAGAGCCTGCCGTTTCATTGCAAATGCAAATGCAATGTGGAACAGTTCAAAGGTCTGTGACCTCTTTGAATAACTCAGACCCGCAGGGGGTTGGGATAAGTGAATCATTTGGCCAACTGATCAAGTCAAAGCTAAATCGTAAAGCCTACGAGAAGATTACCAGCCTCCTAACCGAACCCCTCCCATCCTGATGCATAAGTCACGACACCGGACCGAGTGGGCAGTTGCGGCCCGCGGCATTCCTGGGGCCTACGATCATCATGACGTCACAACATGGAGTTTCCTGTCGAGTGTGTGCGACTGGTTGTTTGCACACCTGCAACGACCTTTCCGGCTGCTTTCTCTTTGCACAAACCCATTGCCGTCGTCCTCGTCGAAGCACCTCCGATGTGGCTTCTGTGTACACTAGAACGGATCGGTTTTCTTTTTATAAGCCCAGGCCTAACGTTAAGCCTAAGACGCGGTCGAACGTAACCCGAAGTTAAGAAATCCTCTTAGGCCTAGCCCCTTTCGCATCTGCGATCACAAATATCTCGCAGATAAGGGACCAATTCCGATGCTTTAAGACGACACTTCCGAAAGCCAGAAGGCACAGCATACGAGTACCTGTTGCCACATTCCAAATGCCAGAATCTGTAACTCAGAAGAATGGATGCAGAGCAAGAAGAGCGAAAGGACCAGTCTCAATCTCACATAGGGAGCAGGAAACGTAGCACTGCCAAGCAATATGCCGTCGAGGATCAAGCCCTTGATGCCATTGCCAAAGAGGTCAGTTGCTAATGCGTTTCCTCCTGCATGACATGCTAATTCGACCCAGGCTTCTGCTAGGTCATTTTTTTAATATGATGTGAATTAAGTGCTGCCTGCTTATTGGAAATGCAGGAAGTGTTGGAGTTCCTCCACAGACCCATAAAATCTAGCCTCTCATAACATGCTCATGTGAAGCATAATCTACAAAATTAGTTTCTGGATGAATGGAAGAGAATGTACAGTCATTAAGCTCGTATATTATCTTTGAAGCTCAGTAACGTAACATGTAGGACAGCAGTTCCCAAACCTCCTCTTATTCACATTGAACCTTCCAGTGGTATGCATACCATGGTTTGGGAACTGAAAATATCAGCTGTAAAATGGAAAGCATGCATTTTTTTCTTTCACATCTGCATCCTATTTAGTTTGAGATATTGATTTTCGCTGAATAAAATGAACATTTTTTTTATTGTTTCCTCTGCGTTGAAGATATTCTGTGACTTTAGTTGAAATAATCCAGTTGAGTGTGTAAATGAGGAGGTATGAGCATTTTTAAAGACAGGAATCACTTCAGTAAATGTTATTTCTGAAAACTTGAAGATTTTTTAATTGGAAATGAGAGAATCCCTTGATGTAGGTGCTCTTGAGATATCCTCTCCCTAATTATCTACCAGTATTTATAGCAATAAAGTGGTAAATAGGTCTTTCAGTTCGTCATGACAAGGGAATTTATTTGTTTCCTGCTTATTTTGTATATTTAGACCTGTGTATCAATATTTCTTCGTTTAAGCTTCCTAAAAAAATGTCTGGTAGTTTGCCTTGAGCCAGAGAGTTGACTCAGACAACTCATAACTGTGTTCTTCAAAGAACACATGTTCTTCGTATGAACATGTAAAACTCGTTACCTTGCCGCTCGTGAGAGACGAGAAGCAGACGCACTGCACTCGTGTGGACCTTGCAGTCCCATTTCCCATGAAGAAGTTTACTTGTGGATGTCATCGCATTGCAAAGCCTGGTGTCGGATGCTTGCCGTGGCACAGACCAGGGGAGTATTACAGTCTGCAGTTATCATCCTAGCCTATCTGAGGAATAAAACTTATCAGGTGATTGCTGGAAGGCCGTGGGACAGTTTCATCTGTGGATTTCCTTCATATCACTTACTTTCAAACTGGATGGCATCATGCTGCCTCCTTAGATTTTCTCATACCATTTTCTGAAGTGGAAATGATTCAGAATTGGAACATTTGTATGCTGACAGCCGTTGGACAGGATTTTTCTTGGATTTGTTTTATAAAGCTGGTTTGGGAAGGTGGATGAACAGATGAGCTCATTTGTAATAGCTATGCGAAAAAACGTGTCGATCGATGTACCAGCATTCCAGCATCGAGCCCGCATGCATCGCCCGACCGAGAGCATTAACCGGAGAGCACCTGTGGCATATCCGGGTCGATTCGGCGTTCCCCACGAGACGGGATTCGGTATTCGGTTGCGTGTGGGAGTCATGGCCCAGAATGGCATTGTGGAGATCCGCGAGGTGAGTGGCGGAGGGCGTGGTGGGGCGGCGTGGGATTCCTTGGGGGTTTCCGAGATCGGGGAGGATAAGGTCCGGTCGGTTGCATCACGTGTGCGATGTGGAGAGCAAGAAGAACTGGTTTTTGGGAGGGGGGAGGGGGAAGGGGGTAGCATTCTATCTCTCTCTCCTATCTCTAATTTATGGGAAGAGGGGAGATGGGATACGGAGGGAAGGGGGAATCGGTTTTCTGGCAGCGGTGCTCTTCCGGGTTCCCCCCTCGTCGACGGGCGGGGATCCCCAGAGACCCCCGGATGCACCCCCAGACGCCCCCCCGGAGTGAGACCGAGAGGGTGCGAGGATGCACCTCGTCGTCGGGGAACGCCCCAGCTCGTACGTGGAGTGGCTGACGAGGGAGCGGGTGGAGACGGTGGAGGCCCTCAGACGGATCTACGGACGGGTTCAGCTCCATGCGCTCAGGATCGAACGGCTGGTAAGGGTGGGGTGAAAGGGGAGGTGTTTGGGGTGGGGAAAGATGTTGAGGGGGGGGGAGGCGCTGTCACAACAAACAGGGGATTTGGTTGTATATATAGAGTGCGTTTGCTTTTCTGGAGTACGTGCTTCGATTGTTTCGTTTTTCTGATTCTGGATGAAGGAGAGTCCTTATTTTTACGGGATTTGGGAGGATTTTTTCGCGTTTTCAGTATGGAATTTATTTTTGTTTGTGTCGTATTTTTCTTGGTCGGGGCTACTTTTTTACCACTTGGCACTTTTTATGGCTTTCATTTAATTTTTTCTGTTTTAAGAGACATGGTTCATTTGGAAGGCTAAGCGGCGATGCAAAAAAAGAATTGGCGCCGGCTTGGGAACTCATTCACAGTCGGCTCGCCCCGTCTGCCGTGCAATAAGCTGCCAGAATTTTTTTTTTTTCTTCTGTGTCTATGAATGATCCCGTGATTTGCAACGGGCGTCAGAGTTGCCTGCGATTATTTTCGGCGTTCGACGTGCAACTCTGCCCCAGTTTCGCAATCGTCGCTGCTCGGCTGAAGGGAGTACATACCATTTCGAGGAAACAAAAACAAGAAAAGGAGAGAATGGGGCTCATGAGGCATCACCGTCGGGGCGGGCGGAGACGCGCCCCCGCTCGGGGATTCGCGTCTGTGCGTGTCGGCGCTCGCGTGCTGGGCGACCAGAGGGAACGTTTCGTGCGTCTTGCGGGAGGGGTGGGGGAAAATCCCACACTTTTGACGTATTATTTTTATTACGGGATGACTTAAATGGATGCGCTCGTGCACGTATTTCAACGCGTAATCTCTTGGATGAGGTTTTGCATTTCGGATGGACTTCCCGTGAAATCGGATGGGAAGAGTTTTCTGGTGCAATCCAGTCGCTCGTATTTTCTCCAGTGAATTTTTTTTTTGTGGCTCGTATCCCATGTCGGGGAGGGCATCGAAGCATGGGCCTTGCCATTGCCCCGTGTGGGAAAGGAGCCCAGAGGGAACGGCCTCCCGGAAACCCTCACGGTTCGTTTCGACGAGTGTTTATTTACGCAACGCGGCGGGCCGGTGGTCGACCCGGGGGGGGGGGGGAGTCGCCGGGGCGATCTGCAGGTGTCGCGAGGGACGAGGGTGGTTCGCGGGGGGTTCCGTAGATGTCGCGGGGCGTCCCGGTACTCCGCCGAGGGGCATCGGGTCGAGGAGGGACCGGAGTCCCGTGGTGCCGTCCTTGCACCTGCGTGCGTTGGAATCCGGCCAGAAACGGGGAAATAGAATCCGTCTCGTCCGTCCGGAGTCACTCCCGTTCGTTTTGGATCCAGTTTTGTCTCTTGCCAAAACGCGGATGGGAGACTAGGTCGGATGCAGCCGGTCGCCGACCTCCCCCGATGCCCCCTTCCCCTTCTGCATCCGTCTCTCGGCCGACTTCCGGGCGTCCGACTGCCAATTAGCTCGTGCCGATTCCGCTCTCTCGCTTCCTGGCGAGATTCCCGGAACGGGCCGCCGCGATCGAGAGGGGGACGGGTGCTCGGAGTCCGCCGGGGCGCCTCGGGTCGGCTCTTTTGGGGTCTCGTTCGGGTTGCGGTGGGGGTCGTCACGATTCGATGGATCGTGCGATGAGATACGATGGACGTGGTCGTTACTCTTCGTCGAAGCTCGCGCTTCTTGGGATTCTGTGGGGCGAGTCTTGACGTGGGACGGGGGCTCGATTTCGATCTCGTGTCGGGATCCATATTATAATACGGCCTTGTACTGGTGGGTGTGGGGGTGTGTGTCTGTTTGTATGTATGTATGTGTGTGTGTGGGGGGGGGGGGGTCTCCGGAAGGAGAAAAGAAGAGTCTGATGCGCTTCCGCCCCCCTTCCCTTGGCTTGGGCTTCGCTGCGGCCGGTCCCGATTTAGCACAGGGTCTCTCGCACGCACATTCTCTTTCGCTCCTCTCGTGTGTGCCCTGCATGCTGGGAATCTCCGAGAGGGGCGAGTGGGATAGGGGGGGTCGTTCGGGGATGGGGGTGACGTCCCAGTCCTCGGTCGCGATGAATCACGTGGGGGATGTGCTGCGGGGGATGTCCACGTACGTGAGGAACTACGAGGGGGAGAGGAGGCGGTTGAGGCTGAGGGCGCCCAAGCCGGATTCGCTGAGGTTGGCGAAGTGGAGGCAGACGATCGCGGCGCATCAGAGGGGGCTGCCGAGGCAGGGGTCGCCGGATCCGTTCCCGTCTGTGAGTCGGTGGTGGAATTTTTTTCTCACCGGGGGGGGGGTCGTGGGTTTGGAGTCGGGAGACGGTTTCGTCGTTTGTTTTCCCGCCTCGTTTGGGTCTCTTCAGGCGTGGATACTCTGTCTCGAGGGGGCCTGGGGGCGGGTTCCGTCACGAGCACCGTGGGGGCCCGAGTCGACATTTGTAAGAGAGACGTCAATGGCCCGGTGATGTCTCGAGTCGAAGCGAGCACGGATTCGCATTCCGCCGAGTGTGGTCCGTGTACTTGGCCGACTTTCCGAGGCCTCCGTTCTGCTTCATGTCATGCCGTGTCACGTCCCGGATTACGCATAGAAAGGAATTTCTTCATTGTATTAAAAAGAAGAAAAAAGGAATACAGGATGCTCCCGGTACGAGGAACCGGTTCATCCCTCTGGCCATGTCCATAATGATGATGTGAGCCAGTTTTCCCCGAGCAGAAGGTCTTTAACGGTCGACTGCTTGCTCATCACATGATAATGACGAAGAAGCAGAATCGTAACCGGGGGCACCTCGTCTCTTTTTCCCTTCCTCGCTAATTGCCCGATCTCCAATTCACGCCTGGGTGATCGCGGAGAGAGAGATGAATGACCCCGACCTTCTCAGCCTCCGTCTTTTCCCTCTCCCACGTTGGGTAAGGAGTGGAAAAGGGAAGGTTCACTCGCTGCGCCGTTGGGAGTGTCACTGGAATGAATGGAGGAGGAGGGGAAGGAGGCACGCTCCCGTGCGAGTCTTCCCCCGAGGGAGGAAAAAAAAAGATTCCGCATAGGTGGGGATGGCCTGGCTTCATAACGGTGTTCGTGGGTCCTGCCCTCCCCGAGTGTCGTCGGGGGAGCTCAGTCCGCTCGGTTCGCGCTTTCGTGAAGGGGCCGGTGTCGGTCGGTCGTGGTCTTCGGGATCGGTGTTCGCTCTGTTCGCGAGATGAGGTCTTGTTTTCGTGTTTTCCGTCTCGAAATCGCAATCGGTGGGAGGGTGGAATCATACCCGTTAGAGAACGAAGGGGCTAAACTTCTCCCCTGGTAAACAGAATTTTTCTCTGCTTCCCTCGAGGGGAGATACGGTCTCGGGTTGGCCCTCCCAAATAATCAGAATCCCGTAAGTGGGAGTAAAGCGACGGGTCGACGATGATTCTGTGCGTGGGCCTGCCGTGCCCGTTCCCGGACCCCGGCATCAGCACGGTCTCGGTCCAGACCTCCTCGTCCATCTGCGTGAACGGGAAGGAGGAGGTGGAGGAGGAGGAGGACGACGAGGAGGAGGAAGGGCAGGCGTCCGCGGGGCCCGTCTCCGTCATCTGCAACGGGCTCGTCGTCTTCCAGGCACGGTTCCAGCAGGTCAGTCGCAGATCGATAGTGGGGTCGTGGGATTCCGCCCTTATCGAGGAGGGGGATGAGTCACGCGGAGGGGAGGAGGAATGGCGCACGTGTGTAAATGCGTGTGGGATCCACGGACATTTGACGCGGGCCTTATCGAAAGGTGAGACGGTGTGCTGCGTTGGCACCGTTGCATGGCATGCGAGGGAGAATCATCATGCTTCGTTTACGACGCGATTGCCTGCGAGGAGACTCGGCGCAGATACGCGTCCGGTCCCCTGGGTATTCCGCGATCCACGATTCCCCGTGAAGTGACTCGCGATGGAAGAGAATCCCCCGAGTGTCGAAATGCCGGAAATTCCCGTCGTGCCGATCGAGGAAAGCGAGAAGAAAGATTCGGACGCGGAGGTTCGTCCCCCTCCTCTGGAGCGATGCCGCGCCCTGAGCGCCCAGCCGGGGACGATCGTGAACCCGCGCTTTCTGCGTTCCGTGACGCAGTGGGACGATGAAGTCGACGACGACGACGATGTCGAATCCCCGCGGATGTCGACGTTCGGTTCGGACGCGGACCCGAGCGATCGAAGGACCTCGATGCCCGCCGTGTTCGATTCGGAGACGGCCGTCCTCTCCGTGTTGAAAAACGCACGAGGAAAGGTGAGGCGGGAAGCCGGGAGTGTTTGGATTTTTTGCCTTTACCCTTTGCGACCGCGGAAGCACCCCGTGCCACCTGTAGACCTGCGGGACGATGAGACGGGAGCAGGTGTTGCACACATGCGACTGCGAAGACCGACGTCGGCCAGATGCTACCCTCATCCCCTCATCCCCTCCTCCCCCTTTCATCCTTTTATATCACACGTGCAATTCTCAACGCCGTATTGTGAGACCGTGCTCGGTTGCATTCCGAAAAAGGGGGGGATTTGTCAGTGTCCCGACTTTGTTAAGCTCGGAACACCCTTTCATCGTACTCCCGTTGTTCCATTTATTTACACTGTTTTCCCTTCGCAGCTCTCATCCAACCGTGAACTGTGATTTCACGCAAGCAATAATTTTTTTTTTTGCGCCACAGGCGGAGGCCCGGCTCGCGGCGAAGCGTCAGGCTCGGGCGGAGGCCCGGGAGATCCGCCTGCGGGAGTTGGAGAAGCAGCGGAAGGAGCGGAAAGAGAAGGAGAATGGGGAGGAGGACTCCGGAGCGCCCACCACCTCCACCCCGACCCCGCCGTCGTCCGCCTCGGCCTCGGACCGGGGCCGCGGAGGGGGGGTGAGCCCGGCCGCGAGTTCTTCCGTTTTGCGACCCACCCCGAGCCGGCGGTCTTCCTCCTCCCAAGACTCTTCGTCCAACGACGACCGGGACATCCCTCCCAACGTCAAGGATCTCAGGGTACGGCTGGGACGGTTCATTCCGGGGGGGAGCCCGAGGGGGGAAATATTGTGAAAATGGTTTTTTTTTTTTTCAATCGAGATGTATGCTTACTGAATTTAATCCAGTCATCGAAGGACCATGGGCTACAAAATCCGTTTCATTCGCTTTTGACACCTCATGCACCGCTCGACGGTGACGTTCATGCCGTACCGCCGAGTAACAGATACATGGCTCGGGGGAGGGAGGGGGGGGGGGGGGGGGGGGGGGGGCGTTTTTTTTAGGGGGGTTGGGTCGCAAAACGGAAGAACTCGCGGCCGGGCTCACCCCCCCTCCGCGGCCCCGGTCCGAGGCCGAGGCGGACGACGGCGGGGTCGGGGTGGTGCTGCATTTTGTCTAGAGAGGACCGTTAGTGTTTCCTGTATATTAGGGTTATTCGCTTTAAAAGTACTATTCGAAGTCGTGCGACCGCGTGGTGTTGTCCGTTGCCATCTCGAAAGCAACGGACACGCTTCGAGTAGCTGCATGACAGCGGATCGAAATGGTTGCAAAAAGCACCCAGTCGATTGTGACCGATTGGGTCATGCACGGGAGGCGAGAAGTAAAACCGTTTTGACACCCTTCCGTCTTTTTCTGCCAAGAGAGTAAGTGGAGTGAGGGAGGGGGGGGGGGGGGGTGTTGTTCCTACTCATGGGTTGCATTACAAGGGGGGTGGGAGGTTGGCCAGGGAATCTGCTTCTCTTGGGTTGCGTTACGAGCTAGGTGATGGCCAAAGTGGGGAATCCTCTTTTAGTTGCATCATGAGTGAGGGAGATGGCAGCACTGACCACGTTCTTGATCTTGGATGAAAGCTGCAGTGCATTGTTGAGCTTTCTGCCGGGTATCGCCTGGTCATTCCATGAATGGATGAAATTCATGAGAAGTAGGATGCAACCTTGGATGGAAAAGTTTATTATTATTATTTTCCAAGTGGGGATTAAGGATTCAACAATCACAGATTGTTGAAGTATGTGGCCCCCTTTCCAAGTTGTAAATTTTTCTCTGTGATCAGGGAGAAGTGAGGGAAGTGGAGGAGAAATTCAGGAAGGCAATGGTGAGCAATGCGCAGCTAGACAACGAGAAGTCGGCTCTCACGTATCAAGTCGAGACCCTCAAGGACCAACTCTTGGACACGCAAGAAACCCTGGCCAACCTTCAGGTACCAGATGATACCACCATCTTTTCTCCTCTGTCGGCGAATGGCATCTTGACCCGACTCCTCGTGAAACCAGCGGGAGCATCGAACGAGGTGTCGGGAACTGGAGCAACTGAAGCGCGTCGCAGGGAAGTTGAAGGAGGAGAATCAGTTGCTGAGGAAGGAACTGGAAGAACGGGAGAGGTTGACTTCAGAATTGGGTCTAGTCATGGTTTACACCGAGGAGATGGGAGAGGATGGACGACCCAAGCGGGCTCTCATCTCTCAGGAAGCCATTCAGGTCCTGGAGGACACAGGCGAAGGACCTCTCGGTCTGTCGTTTTCCCTCTTGCGACCTTTCATTTCGTATCCCTCTATCGTCCCCCCGACGGCAGCTTAATGGCTGATATCAGACCGCTCGGAAAAGATAGTGATGCTGGAGGGAAATGAAATGCCCATAAATCATCTGCAAAATTACATGCCAGCAGAAGTAGTTATACAGTCACAGTAGATAAGGATCCTCAAAGGGTAAACATCTGAAATGCTAAGGTATTTATGACTAACTTTATCTACAGCACCCTCAAGCCTGAGTACATGACTATGACCATGAGTATATTTACTCTGACTGAATAATTGATAAGAAAGGAGGACTGGGAGAAGTATTTTAGGATGCCTGGTAGATGGAATGCATGGATGTAGATAGCATACTCTGGATTCTTATTCACTGCACTGTGTATTAACAAATTCCTTGAACCTTATATTCTGGTGCTTAACCATTATCAGCTGCCAAGTTTTTAAACTGATGCCTACTCCCCTATACTTAAATGAGAATTTCCATCAGAAGAAGTTATGTGTTCTTCTTGAGAAATGTCAGTCAAAAATTCCTGGAGTAGCTGTAATAGACATTACCATATTTTTCATGCTGATCAATCCTCAAATGAATCCATATCCCTCCAAAAGATGTACGGATCAAGAAGTTTGCAGAAGAGCGCAACGAGATGGAGGACGAGCTTAGGCGTCTTCGTATTGAGCTCGAGGAGGAACGGACCAAGAATGCCAAATTCTGCAAACTCATGTCTTCCACACCTCAAATGAACGGGCCTGGAGGGCCTACTAGCACCGATGAATGGATTGATGCCCAAAGTGAGTAGGCTTCTTGAATCTTACTGATGAAGATGAGCTCTCCTGAGGTATCATGTCAGCGTTTGATCATGAGGCCAAAATATGTTAGTTTTGGAAAATTTCATACCACAAACTCAAGGTTTGGCATTCATTTTATATGCTGGGAGTTTTTGTGGCAGGAAAGATGATACCATATCATGGTTATGTTCCTCTTAATTCCCTGCCAAAATAGAAATCTGATTAAAAAGGGAGTAAATATGAGTGCAACCAACAAAATAATGTGAAGCGTCAAACTTATTTGCTAAGTGAATATTTAAAAAATTTCTTGAGGCGCTGTTCATCTTGTTACCAAAAATGTTTACTAGATTGACCAGCAAATATGGAGTACAGTCAAAAAGTAGTGATTTGTGCAGCATAACTTCTTTATTGCACTAAACAACCTTTTAATGCTAAGTGCTTAAATTGGTATTTCTTTTGTGTCTGAGGGAAGTTTCATCTGTGTACTTTGTATTTTAACCATTACCTTTTGCACTTGTCTCGAAGTTCCTCAGTTTCTATACATTCTTTTTTTTTTTAAAGATTGGAACTTGTTTCCTAAAGTCATAGGAACTCCCCAGCTCAGAAAAGAGCTATTTTATTGTAATACTGTGTTATTCCAAATGTGCACCATTGACAGAGAGATTATCCTAAAATACGGTGTCCATGAAGTTGTGTAATGCATGTATTTCATGCCTTGCTTGGGGGTGAAGGGGCATATGTGTGCTGTATACAACTGGATCTATGTGAGTGTATGTGTGTGTCCACTACAGAGGAAAACACACGTCTGGTAGCAGAATACAAGGTGCGGGTCCAGAGGTCCGAGCAGGAGATTGCCACGTTGCAGGCCAATGTGAGTTTTTCCTAATCTCTGGCCCTTGATTTCTTGCTCCCATGCTTGGATTTCATGTTCGTGTCTTGCTTCCCTTGACTTCATTGCTATCATTCCATCCCTATGCATACCTCATTAGCATCTGTCCTATTGCAGGTGGCGAGACTGGACAGCCAGGCCCAGAGGTACAAATCGGCTGCAGACACGGCCGAGCGCAACGAGGAGGAACTCAAGTTGGAGAAGAGGAAACTCCTTCGAGAGGTGAGCTCGGGCTCTGTGCCCTTGCTTTTGTCCCCCTCATTGGCTCTTTCTTTCTCTCTTCTTTTCCACCATCGCATCGACTCTTACCGGCTCGTGGTGCTCTCTCGTTTGTCACTCCAGCTGAGAGAACTCCAGTCCAAAGTGGACGACTTGGAAACGTCACGAACGTTCCTGCAGCGCCAATGCGAACGGCTCAAGCGCAAGCCGTATGCTCCTCTCTATCTCACCCTTCCCCTCCTTGTCATCTGCTTGCCTCCCACCACCTCACCCATCTTTGTCCCTCTCCTGCTTGACACTGTACTCCTGTGCACTTGCACTTATGATTTAGTGAAGTAGATCATTAGGATGAATGGGCTATTTATTTTTGTTTATATTTTTGGCTGTAGAGAATCTTTATGGAAAGAACATCCTAGGTCATAGCCTAGTTGTCAGTATTTTATGGCTTGTATTTAGCTGAATTCTGTGTTTTAATGTTCAGGGTGTCTCACATAGATGTATCTGAGTAAGGGCAATCATGTGGAGCATATTTCCAGATCACAAGCAAATGTGAGGAAGTTTGCATTGTTGAAAGGGTATGGGCTCTCCATGAAGCTCTTGTTGCTGGGGCAACACTCTATTGCAAATATACTTATTGAGATAAGAAAATGTTGAAAAGCACTCAAACTAGAATTCCTGTTCTTTATCCAATTCTTCTCCTTAAATTCTCATTATCTTAAAATATATTAGCTATATATGACTGAAGTTCACTGCAGCATCATAATTAATCCATGATATTATTGCTCCCATTCAATCAACAATATGAAATTTTAAAAGAATATGATTAAATTTCTTACTATGAGGCTTAGTTGACTCTGCTAAACTGATAATTCTAGGGACCAATGAATATTGTATTCCAGTGTATTTCAAGTACCAAAGTTATTGTACTGAACTTATTCTTCATAGTTCTGGTAAATTTTTAAAAGATTCAGTATAAGACATGTTTTTGCACATTGGTCTTTTTGTAAAGTGCATTTTGCATTTTTTTTTATACTCTGTTTTTTGTCTAATTTATTTCATTAATCTCCTTTTTTGTGGCTTGGTATTTTTGTTTTCGTTTGTGTTTACTGTATATTTTGTGCATTTTTCAATGTTTTTAAATACTTAACTTTTACTCAATTTACTCTGTTGCTCAATTCATAAGTAAAATTGTTTTTTTTCATTATTTTCCGTTACCTTTCACAGAATGCTGTAAAAGTCATATGACACCTCATGGCCTTGGTTCCATGAAGTAAAGGTGGGGCTGAGTGGGGGGGGGCCAGGCCATTGAGAACTTTCCAAGAATATGGAAAAGGGAAAATGAACTTTTTAATTTTCAATGATTGCATGAATAAATTTTTATTTCATCTTTCAGAAATTGTATTCCATTAAGTAGGTTATTCTAATTACCATATTCCTTTTTGTGTTTTATTTTTTCAGAATGCATCTTATGGATAATAAAATTAAGATCCTGTGATGGTATTCCATAAAGTGGAATTCTAATAAGTAGAGCCAGGTGTATTATTATCTTGAAGTTGTCCCCATGTGATTATCTTTCCACTCAGAGTGGGGAGGACTACATTTATGAGTGGCACCCTGACTTTTTTTACCCAATCATGCCTGCTGTCAACATGAAGAATGACATGATGTTGCATCTGTGCTATTTTTAACGGGGGTTTTTTTTTGCTTGCAGTTGAGGGAGGCCCAGACGAAGCTGGAGGAGTACGAGACGGCCAATCTGCACCTACAGAAGAGACTGGATAAGCTGAAAAATGCAAGATCCACACTCCTCAAGGAACTCTCTTCAACCCCAGAGGATGGCTAAAGGAGGAGGAGAGAAGAGAATGGACCACACGCACCAACACACACCTTCCCCTTCCCCTGCGTCCCCGACCCTCCATTGTCTGTAACAGTACATGCCGCCACTGCTCCTGTGATACTGATTAGAATTGTTCTGTGCATGAGAGAGAGAGAGAGAGAGAGAGATTGAGAGATTGAATTTGCATCTATGAATGCATAGTGGAACAAGGATTAACACAAATGCAGTGTAAGAAAGAGAAGCAGGAGGCAGGAATGTGCCTCGTTCAGGCATTTAATTCCAAAGCGTTTCATTTACAATTCTCCCCGCTCAACGTTCGCTTTCGTCTCCCTTGATACCCGCTCACCCGCCTCATTCAGAGATGCTATTTTTTCCTTGCCCTTGTTTGATAAGTCTGATAAGGACTCTTAATCACTCGCTGTCGTGTCTCACCCGTTTCCCGCTAGACGGAACTGGAGGATTCCAGTCGAGCTTCCAGGGAAGCGTGGTCCCTTTTTCAGTACCCTTTTTTTGTTTTGTTCCTGGATCACAGAGAGAACAATATTATTAAAATGTGATTATATGCGCATTCTTGTTTGCTTCCTTCAGCACACTCATTAGTTATTGAAATGTGCAATGTGCCTCCTCTAAGTGAGAGTGAGAGATATGTTTCCTTTTTCGAATTAATTAACGAAAGGAAAAAGTGCTAGGCCATTTTCCATACCCATCAACCAGTGGCGCATTTTTGCTGAAGAATTTGGGGAGCAGAGCAGCATAATGGGGCGCCGATCCCCATCCGAGCGAAACCAGGGGAGAAAATTAATGCATCCAAGGGGGCAGCCCCCCCCTGCCACCCCCCCCCCCCCCCTTCCTTTAAAATACGCCGCCACTTCCCCATCAACGTACACCGATTCGTATTACATCCTCCTGTACTCTGAGGTTGAAATTACAATGTTCGAAAAAAAAAAATCGGCTAAAGAATTTAATTTAATTCTAGATCAAGTCGGTAAGTGGTTTGCGAAAGTGGACGGGGGGAATGGACCCAGAAGTAGTTCGTGCATCTGGCCGTTGGCGCAAGGAGAGAGAGAATGCATGCACGATGACAACTACATTTTCCTCGGGGTTGCCAAACTCTCCTCGTTTCACTCGTAGAGAGAAGAAAAAGGCGATGAAACGGCGAGCTCGGGCTGTTTTCCGTGGTTCTCGGGCCACGAGAAAGTATCGGGCGACAGCTCTCACAGCATAGGCCGAGTTCATACTCGTACGGCTGCTGGATGCTACGTGCAGTACACGGACGGCAAAACTGCATGTTGATTCCCCATCCAGCACGCGTGCCTGATCGACTCCGATCCCGTTAATGGAAACTGCCATACAGCATCTGGATCGAACAGAAGCCATTCCTATTTTTTTGAGCCTGCCGGATCTCATCCCCGACTTAAAAAAGTTCGCGAGCCAGATGAACACGACTCCCAGCTGGCGCTTTCTCGATTTTAGTAAATCTAAGGTTTCGCCAGAAACCGAACAGAGTCGCCGGAAATTCCTCCATCCACCACATCCGCCGAGCACTCGCCGTTCCCAAGTTTTGAAAGTTCCAAATCGAAAAGCGGTCGAAATCGCGCCGAAGGGGTTTCCCCAAAAATCGCCTGCCCCATTTATTCTTTTTTTTTTATGTTTCTCGTTAACGAGCGAAGCGCGACGTCTTTCGGCGCTCGAAATGGGACGGCTACGGGTGCCCGAGGAAAAAATCCGCTGCGTCCTGAACCACCTCAAACAAGTCCTCTCGATTTCAGCATTGCATTCGCGGAATTTCGGGGGAATCTTTCGAGGCGACTCCGCCGAAATCGGCCGCCATTTCTCCGCTGGCAGAAAAATACCAACCTCGGCGATGCGATCCTAAATGAACCTCCAGGGGGGATGGTGCTTCCATTCCTCCGTCGTGACGTCATCGCAAGGGTTGGGTGGACGACCAATTAGATCCGGCTGCCTCTGCCGGTGCTCAACCGGGCAGAATGCCATGCCGACTATGAGGATTCTTCCAGGACGGCATTTTTTCCTGCCGTATCGCAGGATTGCACTCCGGCATCGGAGCGTGACAGACCGAAGTTTTCGTCCGGCATGCCGTACGGCACGAGAGGTTGGGATGAGCGGTCGGGAACCCCTCCGAACCTAAATAGTCCCCCCAAAAATGCGATCTCCAAGTCTGACTCGAGGAAGAGTTGGCAACCTCACTTCTACTGACGAATTTAATAGTCCCTAGGAACGCTCTCGCCCGGTCCCCCATCCCCAACGAAAAAACTAGGCCTAACCCACGCCCCGTCCCCCCTCGCCCTCACTCTCCCCCCCTGGGTGACCGAAATGAGCGCCTCCGAGCACAGCCACAGAGCGAATGGAGTGCATGCCTTTCATTTGGTCCACTCCCGTCCGGGGCGAACGCGCAACTTGGCCCGAGCATCGGGGCCTTCGAGGAGACGACGAGCGATCACACTTGCCAAAAAACGACGCGACGACACAAGCGACTGATGTCGGTAATTAGCATACTAAACGCCTATCTCGACGGCCTCCTTACAGCCCCTTGCCTGTTTCGCAGCCACTCTGGCATGGCGAAGTGTTTTTTTTTTCTCACAAACCATCGGACTAATTGCTCGAAGCTCGGTTGAAGTAATGACCAACTTTAATTACTGCATTGCCCCTGCTCAGTGGCGTATTTATGCTGAAAAGTCAGAGGAGAGGGGGGGGGGGGGCAGGACAGGATATTGGCGGCACCAAACCCCACTCAAGCGATACCGGGGAAAAAATTATTACCAAGCTTGGCGGGGCGCCAAGCTCCGTCCTAGGGACGCCAGGGGGGCGGGCGCCCCCCCCCCCCCCCCCCCCCCCCCCCCCCCCCCCCCCTTTGCAGCTACTCCTATTGACGTTTGGTGACCAATAGTAAACACAGGGAGTCATCCATGCCATACCTGTAACCCTTTCTCGCAATTACCTTGCCCGCACCCGCATTCACGTTTCACTCGACGCTGTCGTTTTTCTGCACCTCGTACTCGAATTTCATGACTAATCCGAACAGCATGATCAGAGTTAAAAATAACGCTGGAAATTCGCAGGAAAGCAAAGCAAGTGGTCGTTAAAACCATCCGTGCCGACTCGCACCATTTGGCAACCCTGTGTACGCCAGTGGCGGGCCAGCAAAAACTAACCGTCTCTCACATTCAGGCAGGCCCCGGCTCGTCCCGAAAAGTTCTGCTCTCGAGCTTGGTTAGACGATCAGTGGGAAATATGTTTTTCGGAGAGAGTTGAGGCTGAAGATGAGTTTGTTCGTAACTGTTTTAGCGTCTTAAGTCTACTGCGCCGCTCGTTTCAGGTTAAATCTGGCTCCCGAGCCTAAGCTTCCGTCATAGGGCTATATTAGGCTAACAAGTCCCCGGTCTTCAGGACTCGATTGTCTGAATAGGTCTAACGGTCGTGCCCTAGCTTACTCTTCAAAGACTTAGACTAGGCCAGGGCCTTCGCACATTTGGTTCAACCTATTGCAATCCCCACAGGGTTTTGCAGTTGACTAGCTATATTTACCATGGATCTATTTATCTTGCCCAATCTTGTGCCCCGGCCAACCCCTCGTCCCCCCATGTCCAACTTATGTTATGTGCCAATAACTGGAACTAGGGTAATCCAGAATGTAGACACTTCTTTAAGTGATAGGCATGGTAAAAGATTGGATCTGGGACTACATGCATGCAAGGCATATACAAACATGAGGCTGGACATTTGTCATACTATTTCTCTTATGCAATTTTCCTGAAGGATATTAATAGCTAGTTTTATTGGTGAAGAAAACTTGGGCCAACATGGCAACTCCTCTTCACGCTACTCACAAAGTGCAGGAATCCATCCTACCTAAGTGGGCTGATTTATTTCGTATATATGAACAGCTTGCCATTGGTAATGAAGCTGGTAAGTTCAGGTCCAAAACATTGAGGATCCACCCTCTGCCTGGCTCTTTTGATTGTACATTATTCACATTGTTTCCCTTGACAGAATTCCAGCAATTGGCCAAGAGTCATGAGAGGTTGAGGAAAGCCTTGGTTGGGAAGAGGGATGAAGTGGAACGCCTGACGTCCGAATTGGTGTTCCTGCAGGATCAGATGACCCATCGAGATCGTACTATTTCACGGACCCAGTGTGCATTGGATCAGGTGACTCAGACTGCGGAGAAATTCCAGGGTGGTTTTACTACTGCTGTGAGTGTTATTGTCTAATGGCATCGTGCTGTATGTTTTTACCCTGTAATTGTCAGACACTCATTTGCGATGCAGGCGGCTCTCATACGTGATATCGGGGCTGAGACTTACAAGGAAAATGGAGTTTTTACTATTCGAGACATGGTCAACAAATTCCTGGATCAGTTTAATCATCTGATCAAGGGTGAAGGTTCATTTGGTGCTGAATTAAGCCGAGCGAAGGGTCTTTCTATCATAGATGAAGCTAATTCTAGTGAAGGTTGGCAAATTCTCTTCATCTATTGATTCTTTTTCTTCCTAGGAAACAATTGAGAAGATTTAGATCTCAATCTGTGTGCTTTCGATTACAGGTACTCTGGATATAGATGTGGATGGACTTTCAACTGACGATCTGTCTGGGAATGCTAGCCGTTATTCGCTTCGGTCTCGAAAGACTCGACTGGAGGATGGAGGGAAGAGTGAGAGAGAGAAACGGGGCGAAGGGGATGATTACGAAGGAGACAGGCGTCGGAGTGGGAAGCGGCGTCGGAGTGCCTCCCAGCCGCCACCTGCTGCTGTGTCTGGAGGAGATGTGGGGCCCACCCTCGTTGCCACCACGACTGTCACTGTCCATAATAGTGGACCTATCCGTGCCTCTGCTGTCCTGGAGGCTAATAAGGACAAGTGAGCCATATTCTTGCTTTGTTTCTATGAGATTCACATGTGTTTATTGAACCATCAATGGAGATCATTCTTTTCTCAGGGATGATGATCGTCAACCTCCACGCAAGAGTCGTTGCCCAGTCACACGTTCCATGGAACGTTTGGAGAAAACTAGTTCAGATGAGACAGATAGTATCCCAAGTCTTGACATAAACAGAAAGCAGATTTCCATGAAGCTTGGACAGCGTAAGCCCTGACTCTTATTTCTCCATTATTGCTTTCATGAAAGCTTCTCATTTTTTTGCTTTTAAGAGAGACGTGAGGTCTCCAGGGGTTGCAAAACACCACTAGTTTTGTTGAAATCCGATGCTGATGAAAGGATTCTATTGCATTATGATGACTTTCCATGCAGAGCCATGATGAACTTGAATGCCATAAAAAAAGGAGGAAGGATGAGGATAATCAAAACCTTTTCCTGTTTCATGGAATCACTTTCAGACCATTGCAATCTGGAAGATGTGCCACAGAAAAGAAAGTGACATGCTTGGATGGTGAGCATGGTATCAGAAAAGATATATGGAGAAAAAAAGAAAACACATTTTGAGCCCAATATGGATTGTATTCCAGGCCTGTTACTTAGTATTATGTACACTTCCAAGAAAGACCTAAGTGGTGGAAGCTAGGAAAGAAGGCCTACATCCATTCAATGGATGCAGAAGACTGACTCAATATTGGAGAGGGTGTTGTTCAACTTATGTGCATCTTTAAATGTTCAAGAAGTAGCAATAACATTCAATGCTTTTATTTTGGATAGGTCAAGCAAAGGGTAGGTTGAGCAAGCTCCTGGCTTCTGTTGGATCTGACCCTGTAGTGGCACCTGCATCTGCTCCTGCAACTCCACCTGAGAAAATGCTTTCATCCAAGATTAACCAGGTGCTTTTGCCTTTTTGCCTATTCTATTATCAAAGGAAAAGTCACTTGTAAGGCTACTTCTCATAATTTTGGTAAGGCAAGTTGAAATTGTATCTTGTTTTGATAGGGTTCAGCTGCTAAAAGTGCATCCAGAATTGGAAAGGTCCCTCAGCAACATACATTTGTCACCAAGAAATCTTTCAAATATGAATGCTGTGGTCCCTGTGGAAAAAAGTGAGTAGGAAATACCCTATCACCTTTTGGTTGTCCTTTCCATTCATTAGGTATTGTATCTGATAACTATTTTCTATGCAGGATTGGATTTGCCAAGAGCTATCTAAGTTGCATATCCTGCAAGACAATCTGCCATGATACATGCAAGCAGGCCTGCCCTCTCCCTTGCATTCCGGCCACCCCAAGGACTCCTCAATCTCATCAAAAGCATCCTGTTAGTTCTCCTTGAACCTTTGTCTTTCATAATCTGAAAGGGCATGACCCAGCAGTTCTCTTGAACATTGATTTACCACACAGGAACTGGCAGATTTTGTGGGACTCCAGTGCCCTATGGTCCCTGGATTGATCATCCACTGCGTACAAGAAATTGAACGCCGAGGCCTCAAGGACGTTGGCCTGTACCGAATTTCGGCACCTGAAAGTGCTGTTGTCAACCTCAAGGTTCCAGCTTTCTTCTTGATTATGTATTTGGATGATTCCAGGTGTCCTTGATGACATTTCCTCTTTTAGGAGAAATTCCTACATGGGAAGGGTCTTCCAAACCTGCGAAATGTAAATGACACCCACGCCCTGGCAGGTACCATCAAGGACTTTTTGCGTGGTCTCAATGACACCTTGGTACCTAACAGTCATTGGCAGGCATTCAGCGATGCAGGCATGAAGTGCATCGTTGATAAGTCAGATGAGCCCCTCCGAAAGGCCATCATGGAACTGGCTCAGCCCAATAGGGACACCCTTGCTTACTTCCTCCTTCATCTTCAGGTCTCCTGCACTTCCTACAACCTATCATAGTTTGTAGAAATAACCAAGTAGATGATTTAGGCCAGGATCTTCAAGTATGGTCACGTTTCATTGCAGCGCATCATCAACAGCCCATCCTGCATGATGTCAGCCGACAATCTGTCCAAGATTCTTGCTCCGACTGTGATAGGCTGCTCACAGCCTCATGCTTCAGCAGAGATCATGTATCGTGAGCTTGGACAGTCTCAGATGGTGAGTATCTCTATTCCCATCTGAATTTTGGCTTTGATGAAAAATTGAATATTCAGTATGTACTTTTTGTTTCCTTATAAACAGGTGTTGAAGTGCCTGTTGGAGATGCCTGGTTCATTTTGGGAGCAATTTGCATATCCAGAAGAGAGTACTAGTGACAATGAGCATGAATTTGCCAGTCTTCTTGGCCCCCTGACCACCATGCCCAGTCCTGTTTCAACCAATTCTCATCTGTGAGCTTCCTCTCTTTCATTTCATATGAATTAGAATTTTTTGCAGTCAGTGATTGTAGTTCCTTGCTTCCCTGTTTCAGACCCTTGACCTTGAGCAAGTTCCAGTCACCTCTCTTATAAACAGCCTTCCAGGACCTTGGCCAGTAGACATGGAATTTCCTGTCTGCTCTGTCAGCAATCTAAATGTATTCAGGTGTCTCATTTTTTCAAAATTGTGCCAACCATAATAATTTTTTTTTCCCTATATCTATGGATAGTTGTCACAATGTTGTCTTCTTTCAGATCTTTCCTTCCCCTATTGCCTTCTTTTTTTAAAATTATATATCTACTCATGCTGTATTCCCTTTCCTTACTTGCATTTTTGAGACCCTGCTTTTGTAAATATTTTTTTTCTCTCTCTCTCTCTCTCTGTATGAATCCCCACCTAGACTATTTGAGATTTTTCATCATTTTTGTTTTGGCTACAGCAGGGGAGATGTTCTCGTGTATCTATTTGTGAAACTGTGGTGCAAAGGATGTCTTTATGTTCTTTTAAATTTTGATCATTGACATCGACTGAGAGCAATAACAATAATCAGAACGAACAACATTTTCTCCAAACAAGAAGGAGGAGAATGATTTCTAGCAGCTCCTTTTTCTATAGCCAATTTCTGTTTAAATCTCTCCAATTTTTGTAAAGTTGATGCAAAAGATGTCTACTATGTTTTCATTTTGATAAGTATGGGTATTGATATTTGGGAACATATTGCCAAGGACAAAAATCATGAACAAAACTTCCTCTGAACAAGAAACATGAGTGCTTTCCAGAAGTTGAGAGCATCTCTTTTTTTTTTTACTACTTTTTTTATTAGTCAGGAATAAAGAATTGAAATTTGTTTCTTTTTGTAGCATACGGTACATCTTCATCACCCAGTTTCACCTTTGACTCCAGTAAGACTGGAAAGGATCAGCACCTCTTATATGCGATCTGCCACTTTATTGACTCAAGTCAATAAAGTGGGTTTCATAATCATACTGAGAATTATTTCCGAAACATGAAAGGGACAAGCCAATTTGTATCAAACGATTGCTGCTTCGTAATTTCCTCTTAAAAACTCTTGAAATTTTCATCAGCTAAAAGGAAATGACCAATACAGTAGGGGGAAAACACGCAGTGATTGATCCTATTTAGAGTATTCTGGGGATTTTGGTACAGTCGGCTCTCATTATAACGAAGTTGGTGAAGCCTCCGAGGCCCCTCATAACCTTAATCCGGCCCTGGTTTCACGGACAGAAGTACTTGGAACACTTTCGCTGCCGCGTATCCGCTGGTGGGTCACGTGACATCGCGGTTAAAGCTTCGGAAAATGCGTTGGCAGCTGACGTCTTAACCCTTTCGCTACGAAAAGTGACTTCTATTGCTTCCTGCAGCATTGCCATTGGCTGCGTGCCAAAATCAATTTCGTAGCGAAAGAGCTAAATGTGTGAAAGTCTCTGTCGAGTAAGGGGCGTGGACCTCCTGAAGCCTTTTATAAATGGAACGGAGCAAAGGAGCCCGACAAAAAGCTTCTCGGCGCGAGCACTGAAGTGCTTCGTTCGCTTGCATTGTCCGTGTTCACGTTCTGAGTCACTCCTAGAATGATTCAGTCCACGTTATTCATGGGGCATTAGGACCTTGGTAATAGTATGGCACGCCTCCACATAAGGAATACAATCAAAGCAGTAGGGGGGGGCGGGCTGGCGTTGTCAGGGGCCTAGCATAAGGTGACCAGGTTTCTATGTTGCGAAAGTGTCAAATAAATACTTCCTCTTGCCTTTTAAAAGAAAAGAATACAAATGTATTTGTTGGACTGACAATTGTATTTATAATTGTAAAAACATGAATTAGAACTGTTTATAATTGTCCATCCACAGTAGCGCAACCAGCCCTAAAGTTGAGGGGGATTGAGAATTTCCGGCAAGTTCTTTTGAGTTGTCTTTCAAGTGTCTCCGAATGCAAGAAGACGTTACCAAATCATCATAAGAGGAAAACGTGAAACGACGTCGAAAACACGCTAACAGAAAATGAAACGGAAAATTTTCATTAAATGGTGGAAACCGAATTTAAACAATAAATGATACAAACACCTTCAATATTTGAAACAAAGCAAAAGGTGAACAAATTTGATTTCGCGATTCAGCCCAGATTTCACTGTGCAGACATGCGTCTGGAAATTCGTTAACCTGTACGTTATTCATGAAAGTCATGAATAACGTAGTTGTGGTACCTTCCGTTTTCAGAAAAAATTTCAGCATCGTCACATGTTCAGGACGCTCTTGTGACATTTTCACTTTACAGCAGCGAGTAGCTACATGTGACTGGCATGACCTTCACCTTTCACTCCCATCTTTGCCCCTTTGTAGCCTCGCTCTCAGGTCGTTTGCTCGAGATCTCTTTCTGCGTCCCTCACCCTCAGAGGAGAGGAATCGAAAGAAATTCTATCACGATCAGGGGTTTTGGCCCATTTTTGCAAGAGGGAGGATCAGCCTCCTCAAAAATTCTCTGGAGTCACTTACCCATACACTCTGAAAAAATATATTAAAATATATTATATACAGGTAAAATCTCGTTATAGCGAACCTGGAGGGACTTTTAAAAAAATTCGTTACACTGAAAATTTCGTTACAGCGGTATTCGTTACAACGAGATTTTACCTGTATATATATAATTTCTGAAAGAAATCTCTGAGAACCATTGAATCCATTCTCGATTGACGCAAAATGAGCCAAGTCCGGTCTCTGGAAGTTGACCCCTGTTCAGAATCGCGGATGGGAGGCCAGAGCCCCCTGATTCATAGACAACTATAGGGTATCACATTGTTCACACAATATAAAAGTAAACGATTGCAGGGGGGCCGGCATCTGCTGTGCACATGAGCAGGTGCCTACTAGCAAGAGCTGTTTTAGGCTTTTTTGTTTATGTTTTTAGGCTTCTTATAGTCGTTCGATGATCCGAATTCGCATTACCAATTTATATATACGCAGTTGCCATGGGTAAAAAAAAAAAGACAGAAGGGTATTAATTCATTAATCACGATATTCGCTAGTTTTGGCTCGATGCGATATCTTTAGAAGTTTTGAAACTTGCAAGGGAAGAAATTCGACCGTCATGTCATTCTCTCTTCGACATTTCCCAAAAGCGGGACGTTTGGGCGTCCCGCCTACTTCATCGGGGACACTGAGACATGTGGTCTGAAAGTGGGACAGTCCCGCCTAAATCGGGACGTCTGGTCACCTTAGCCTAGCCCCTAACAACGCCTCCCGCCCCTCCCCGAATACGCCTCGGTATACGTGTCCACCTAGTCAAGACCGTCCACTTAGGCCCACATTTATTGTCAAAAATTGATGGAGATCAGGTACCTTCGCAACGAGACCCCATTCTGGGACGTCCTCGCTGAGATCAGACGGCAGTACCCATTATGATGATCCATCTCAGACTTGAAAGAACTTGTTCAGTGCTTTTGGTGTTTCTGAGTTCTTAATTGTGTGGGTTTTTTTGACGCTCGCTACGCCACTGACTCTTGGAGGGGGCGGGTGGCGTTGTTAGGGGCTTGGCCCCTGACAACGCACCCCCGCCCCCGTCAAGCCCCCGGCTCGTCAGCCTTATCGCCACCGCCTCCCCTCCCGTCCTGTGTATGCCTCCGAGAGATGGTTGTGCCTAAATTGACACAGTTGACTGTATTCCTTAAGTGGCCTATACTATTACCAGGACCAGGACCCCACCCCCAATATTTATTAGAAGTCTATGCCAGTAACCCATATATCAACTGTTCAGTACTGAAAGAGGAAGACATCTGAAAATAATCGAGTCCACTTTGACCCTTATGTCACTCTACATAAGGTGGTTGGGTTGTCAAACTCGATTAGGCTGGGAGCCGTATGGATGCCCCCTGGGGTGATTAGGGGCCACAATAAAAACCTAACACCTAATCTCTAATGCAATGTGTACTACTTTTCCGTAACTGACTGTTGAAGAGGACTTAGCGGGTCGGAAAAAATGGACTGGCCAGTTTGACACCCCTGCTCTAGACTGTCAATCGGATCCTAGAACAAGAAGTTGGAGGTATTGGGTTGCGCTTTCTGAGTTTGACCAGGAATCAAGTCCTCTTTCCAATTTTTTAAAGGAATGGTGCCGTATCTCGCTATTTCTTGCTGTATCAACTGTTTCTGAAGTTTCTTGCGAGGTTAGTGCTGCCCGATGCGGCGAAACCTGGGTTGTCTACCCTATTGGATTCGTCAGGTCAAGATTTACGCCCTAAAAATCGAATGAAGCCAATTTAAACAGTTCATTTCATGGAGTTCCTTTTACATGTAAAGTACTCTCGTTTAGGTTGGAGATTAAGGAGTTATATGACAAAAGCGTGTTAAGAAACCTGAAATTATTCGGTTCGAGTTCACTTGCTTTGAACGCGGATGAGGGACCGCCGATTGGTCGAGGGAAAAGGAAGTGACGGATACTGGTTGACAGTGTTGCTGAAGTTCGGCTTCTCGTCCCAGCTACATGAATCATGATTACGAGGGGTGTAATGAAAAGTACCAGTGTGGACAAGAACGAATGGTTGAAAGACTCCGTAAGAAGGGTAAACAAGCGTAAAAGAAACTGGAATTTATGGAAGTACTCATCATCCTCGAATACGACTCGCATCATTTGCGGACCGCCTTTGCTGGCATCCCTGGTCATCATGGCTTCCCGGTTGGTGCCATGCGGGTGAGACAACGTGGGTGGTGGATTTCCATTTAGAGTTTTCTGGAGTGATCGAAGTTTCCTTCACATACCTATCTGACGGTGAAGTTTCTCTACCTTCTGTGTCGGTAGACTTCAATTTCGAGCCCCGTATGTTTCCGAAATTCAGAATGCGCTTGGCTTATCTTGGGTTGATTTAATATTTTACGTTAATTCCGTACCACCTTTGAAGATATGAACATTCAGAAAGTGCAACTCATTGCATTATTAATGATCCATGCGAAGAAGAAACGAATTTGAAGCAAATTAACTGCCAAATGAAAGGTTTTGACTGTCAGTGTGCGAGTTTCATGATAGTGCGTGCAATTAGGCAGTGTCTATTGGCCGGGATGGCTCAGCCCTGACGTAAGGGACGAACTGGATGTCACCTGACTCATAACGTCTCCTCAATTCATGACACCTTCATTCAGGCCTGAAAGTTATGAAGGCTGTTGCATATTCCAGAGTGAAGGCTATAATCATAAATGTCATGTGTATTGCTACACCACAATTTCAGCATAAGGAGTACCAATTAAAATGCAGGATTATCATAAAAATCATATAGTCAGGACAGAGAGGGCTTACTCTAAGCTCAAAATGTGCCCATGGAATATAGCCCTTAATGGATGACAGGCACTTGTGAGGCTACTTTAAGCCTGGCTTTTTAGTGAGATCATATAATGGATGACATGCACCAGCCACAGTTGAAATGAGGGTAGTTGTCAGTTTGTATTCTTAGCAAGTGCCCAACAATTTATATTAGGCCTAGTCCTTATCTATCACTGAGGGTGATATTTACTATACTCCTGTTTACTTACTTTAACATTGCAGTTCTTGAGGTGAGGTAGAGTGGCATGCCAGCACCTTTGGAATGAAGGGTGAAAAGAGAAAGGTCGAGAAAGAGGCTCCAGGTGGCTGGCTAGACTCCATCAAGTCCAAAGATGATGAAGAGATCTTCAATTTGGATGGTGGATTGTCCTTTGAGGATGAGTCAGTCTCTGGCAGTGAATCTGATGGAGAGTCTGAAAATGAAGAGGCAGAAGAAGGAGATGACACAGTGTTGTCAGAGGAGGATGTGGAAAATGAGGCATCTCCAGAGTTATCTGAGTTGGAGTCAGGGGAGGAGGGAGAAGGTGGTGAATGTCCTCAAGGAACAGCCACAGATGTCAGGACAAATGTAGATGATGAGAAGGGAGAAGGGGAGGTGGTTAAGCCATCAGCAACCATTGATGAATTTGATTCATCAGATGAAGAAGACTTGAGGAATACTGTTGGCAACATTCCTATGGAGTATTATCAACACTTTGTTCACATTGGCTATGACCTGGATGGGAAGAAGATCATTAAGCCGAAGAAAAAGGATGAACTGGATCATTTCCTGCAGATGATGGAAGATCCTGAATTCTGGCGAACTGTGGAAGATAAGTCTACTGGTCAGGACGTGCGCTTGAGTGAAGCTGATGTCCGTGCCATCCACCGCATGCAGAAGAACAAGATCCCAGATGAAACGTATAACCCATACGAGCCATGGGTTGATTTCTTCACGAATAAGGTGATGCAGACATCAGTGACAGCTCACCCACCGCACAAGCGTTCCTTCATCCCATCTCTCATTGAGCGACAGAAGGTTGGAAAAATGGTGCATGCCATCAAGATGGGTTGGATGAAGCCTCAGTCTGACAAGAAGGAGGCAGTTGAGAAATATGGACCCGTGATGGTTTGGGATTCTAACAGTCACGCAGAGGAGATGCGTCGCATCCATAATCATATCCCTGCACCGAAACTGAAGCTTCCAGTCCATGCAGAGTCTTATAATCCTCCTCCTGAGTATCTTTTTGATGAGGATGAAATGAAGAAATGGGAATCTTTAGAAGAAGAGCCATGGAGACGCAAATATGATTTTGTGCCCCAAAAATATTCATCACTGCGCCAAGTTCCATCATATGATCGCTTCATTAAGGAACGATTTGAAAGGTGTTTGGACTTGTACTTGGCACCGAGAGCTCGTCGGATGCGACTCACGATCCAACCAGAAGACTTGGTTCCTCAACTGCCGAAGCCACAAGAACTTCACCCGTTCCCAGTTGTCCAGTCGCTGGTGTATGAAGGCCATTCCAATATGGTTCGTTCGGTATCTGTGGAACCATTGGGACAGTTCTTGGCATCTGGTTCTGATGATGGAACTGTGCGAGTGTGGGAGATCCAGACAGGAAGGTGTCTCAAAGTTTTTGAAATGGGAGGGGTAGTGAAGTGTGTGGCTTGGTGTCCTAACACATCCGTCTGCCTCCTGGCCATCACTGTAGATAATGATTGTGTGATTTTGAATCCTGGTGTAGGAGATAAGTTGGTGGTGAGTGACACAGATCATTTGGTTGGGATTGGAACTGCTCCTGATCAGGGTGAATATCTTGTTCCGGAAAGGATTCAGGCTGTTGTCAAATGGGAGTCGCCCTCGGATGAGCAAAGGGATGTAGGATATCGAGTGATTATCAAGCACTTTAAACCTGTCAGGCAGGTGTCATGGCATGGGAAGGGTGATTATTTTGCCACCGTGATGCCTGAAGGCCTTAACCGAGCTGTTCTTATACACCAATTATCAAAATGGCGGTCCCAGCTCCCATTCCAGAAAGCAAAAGGCCTGGTTCAGTGCATCCTGTTTCACCCCATTCGGCCATATCTGTTTGTTGCCACCCAGCGATATGTCCGTGTGTATAATCTGGTGAAACAGGAACTGACCAAGAAGCTCCTGACTGGGGTAAAGTGGATCTCGAGCATGGCTGTTCATCCAGGAGGGGACAACATTGTTGTTGGAACCTATGATTCCAGGTCCCTCTGGTTTGACCTTGACCTCTCAACCAAGCCATACAAGGTTCTGCGTCACCATCGCAAGGCTGTCCGATCTGTTGCCTTCCATCGCAAGTACCCCCTTTTTGCAACATGCTCTGATGATGGAGCTGTCATCATCTGTCATGGAATGGTGTATAGTGACCTCCTTCAAAATCCTCTGATCGTCCCTGTCAAGATCCTGCGAGGGCATACCCTGTATGATGACTTCAGCGTTCTTGATTGTTGCTTTCATCCCATTCAACCTTGGATTTTTTCCAGTGGTGCCGACTTCACCATTCGTCTCTTCACTTGAATGTACCCTTATGTTGGGAAATAAAGGATGAATTCATTGATGATATAATTTCAAGGGTGCAATTGTAATCCAAGGTTTTCCGTTAGTTCTTCAGAATGCAAGGACTTCAGTATGATGGTGGTTTCCAACTGCAATACCTTGGTACCCCCCAATGAAGAAATCTGGAATAACAAAAGTTGAGGAGACAGAGGTGTCAGAAGGCATGAGGAAAGCTTGAGCAAAAGAGAAGATGGGAAAGTTCAGGAGTGTGGCAACATCTTGAGCATGGCTGTTGCAATTTATAGGGGTGTACAGATTCAACAACATACAGGTCAAAGGAAAGTTCTAAGGAATGGACCATATCCCTAATGTATGTATGTACTTAAGAAAGTTTATCTTATCTTAAGAAACCCTTGAGTTCCTTTAAAGTAAAGTACCTTTAAATTGAAGGACTTTGAGCACCCATGATTAAATAAAGTGTGATGTATTATTAGTATCAACTGAAGAAAGGTAAATAGCATTTCTGAGTTCTGAAAAAAAAAAGCCCCAATGCAAAAATTTTCTGATAATCCTATTTTAACTAATGCCTCTACTGGTTCTGATGTGGTCAGTGAAAATGTCACCAAATTGTGATCTGTGCCCCCTTTGTCATGGTGTTTGGAGTGTAGTTCAACAGACTTACGTGATGAACTATTCACATCATGAAGGCATGATTAAGAGTAAATAAAGGTTCATCTGGTAATGGCACACAAATGCATCAATTTTACTGGCATTACATGAGCTGATTCTTGGATGCAGTACTAATCATTGCAGCAGTTGTGTATTGGTGGCCAGCTGACCATTTATACCTTTCATTCAACAGGACCATCTTTTATATTAGCATGTCTTCAACTGACTCCACTTGCCTTACAACTGCCACACTGTAGGTGAGTCATTTATTTACTACATCACTACTTCCACTTCATCATTCAAACATCCCCCCCCCCCCAAGGATTTTGCTCCTAAGTTATGAGATTTGCTTGTAATTTGCCCATCATTCAAGATGTTGGCTCTTGGACCTGCCCAAGATACCTTGAATTCATCATGCAAGTAACTAAAATGTGCTGCCAGCATTTGCTGGCCTATCATGCCAGAGTTTTGGCATCAAGTGTCCACATTTCCAAGAATCAGTGCAGAACATTAGAAATTCATCTTTGAAATGTACCTTTTGCAAGGCAACTTTATTGTATGAATGTCAACTAAGTACAATTTGAAGTATTGTGCTCTGTGAACAAGTTCACATTTATAATTTCTGTTGATATGATTTAAAGGAAATATCTGACTGGCCACATTATGTTAATTTTATATTAATTTTTTTGTTTTTGTTTAACCATCTTTGCAGATGCAGAAAATGGGAGGATTATGGCTTAATTTTCCCTGAAAAGGTACAAGCTGCCTCATTTCCATGATCATTCCATCCCATGGCAAAAAGTAAACTGTGTTTGAGGGATAGAGGGACCTCCTTGCTTGGATTCTCTTCCTTTTGTCTCCCATTGGTCCTTTTTTCTGTCACACTCCTTGCTCATTTTTTTGCAGTCTTTCATCTCCACCCCCATTGCTATTGATTCACTCTTCCCCTCACACTCCTTTCTCCTTCCCTCCACACTCCTCCTTACTACGCCCACTTCTTTTGTCTCTTTGTTGCTCTTTTATTTGATCCCATCAACTAGTGGGTGTGTGAGAGCTTACATGTTCCAGAGTGTGTTGAATAGCATGACATATTGGCATTTCAGCCCTCATTGTGTGTTCTCATCCATGCAATATTTTATGGGTCAGTTTTCAATGTCACAATGGCTTCATTGGAAGCCACTTTCTGTTTCATTTTTAAAGGCAATTTTCCTTGATTGAGGTTTGAATTACTACTTCTCTCTTCATTTATACTGTTCTTTTTTTCTCAAAATCTCTCTGAGAATGTGCTGGTTTCATATACTTCTCTTCCCTGGTTGAAACAAAGTTAGAATGAACTTCTAGCTGGGAATAAGTCATGATTACCTGGTGAAAGCATGGGTACTTAGGTGAGGTTCTCAACGTGAAAAACTAAGTTGTATTTTTTCAATAATGCTTTATCATTTTTTAATTAATTAAATTTGAGGGAAGATTTTTTTACTGGGATGGTGACATCTTTCAAGTTTTTGTTGTAAAAGCAGGGTTTATGGGAAAGGCTTTATTTCCAAAGGACATGCATACACAATGGGTTCAAATGAAAAAAAGATTCAATGGAGAGGGGATGTGGCATCATTATCTTCAGAAGGGTGTTTTTTGTTTCTTTGTAGATGGGCAGCTAGCTGGGAATCTTGCACCAGACTGGGGTGAGTGGGTATGAGATGCTCACTCACCTCATAGGAGGTGAGAAGGGGTACAGGGAAAAGTAAATTAGGATGATGGAGGCCTATCCACCTACATGAATGAGATATTGGTAGGTAGGTGCTGGGAACCAGGGGAAGGATCCTTGGTGATACAGAGAAATAAAGGATTTTCCTTCCTGTGCTGCTGTGTTTTCTTGCTGCTTCTATGAAGTAGCTGGACATTGAGAGAGGGGGTTCACTCCCTTAATAGAAATTGCATGTAGATTTGGGCATAGAGGGATTATAGTGGAATTTCTGGGAAAAGGGAGTAGTGCAGATTCCTCACATGTGCAAAATTAGAAATTCTCACAAAAAACTAAACTAAACTAAAAAAAACTAAAAGAATCTTCCAAGGAACATTCTGCATTAGCATAGCATAAATAAGCAAATATGTATCATTTCAATTTAGCAATATTAATAGTGCTATTAATACCATGTCATGAATCCATCCAAAAACAGTACCTTCTCCCTTGGTTTGCTAGTCATGTCTTACAAGCCCTCCTACAGTCAAAGTTACTCCTCTAACTGCACACAACTTGGGAAATGACAGAGATCATCATTAATGAGAAGCACTGCCATTTTAAGAACAGCATATATAAATATATGTAGAATGGCCTGGAGTAACTGAATTATTGAAACAGTAGAGGAATATTTAATTCTGACAAGGCACTGTTGGTTGGCATTTACATTTGGAGAATGCAGTGGCTGTTCTATGGACAAATAAGAATATTCCTATATGATATACATGTACTGCTATTACTCAGTGAGCAGGCAACTTAGCATGAACCAGATGGGATGAGGTCAACTAACCACAGTGACACCCAAAAAAACCTACCCTTGAATGAAAATATATTCTGCTGAGACACAGTGACAGATGACACGTCCTGTGGTCCACCTGCATCACTGCTGTGCCATTCCCGTGTAGAATTGGAAGATATTCCATGCATGTAACATGGGGGAAAATTATGGATCTGTTTGTGGAGACAAATTTAACTCTTGAAGTACTTATGAAAATTTCTGCAGATCATTGCATGGGGAAGTGAGAAACACTTGAGAAAAAAACGATAGATGGAATTTATGTTGGAATGCACAATACAAATTTAATGAAAATTTCAGTAATAGGGTTATTTCGGATCGAATACTTTATCACGGTTTGATGGTGGAGCGATAGGGGATGTTGGAAAGGAAAGACTTGGATTCATAAATTACGATGAATTTCTCCCGCATACGCTCTCTCATCCTACGAGAACAAGAGGAAGTCTTTTATGAATAATTGGATTTCCCATGGTGACAGCGACTCCACACTTGAATCGGAGGAAAACATTGCAAAATATTCTCGCAAAGAAAAAAAACTTTAAACGTAAAAGCACGGCACATCGGAGCCGCCGAAGAACGCCTGGAGTCTCGCCCCCGAGGCCATGCCCTATTCTCCCCTCCCCTCCCACGACCTCCACACATACATCCATTCACGGCTTAGACTCATCAACCGGCGGTTGGCCTACGAAGTAGAGCGTCCGCGTGCCGTCCGGGAGGCCAGGCTTCGAGCCTGGCCGCCGCCTCAACCCAGGCGCAAATTTGGGTACACACCGTGCTTTCATGGCCTGGCGCTCGGCGTTGCAGAAGGCGGTGTGGGGACGCTCCCTTCCAGGGAACGTCTTTTACTTCTCGAAATGAAGATAAGTGAGATGAAAAAAGATTAGAACAGGATTACGGATTGCTCAAACGATAACAACTCAACGGACACGTTACTGCCGTATGGAGCCACACAATTACGTACGTAATTTTTCCGGGCCAACCTCGAATTAGACCGTAACGGAGCGAAATAGAGAATGGAGGAATGGATGGCTAGGAGGAGGATGTCGTCTACGCTAGGAGTAACGTAGCGCATGACGAAAGACGTGGGGGGTTCACTTCAGTGTCCCTGAAACTGATGCAGGGTGACTCATACTAGGGGAAGCTCTCTCCAGATATGTATAAAATTAGTTCTACCATAGAAGGGATTTGATGAAAAAAAAACGGTACACATTCCACTGATTTGGTGGAGTGGTTGTTCACTTCCTCTTAACCCTTTCAAACCTGGCGTTCAATTCCATTGGACATTGCATATTACATTGTGTCTATGGCAACTTCTTAGGATACTCGTGACTTTGCACTTCATATTACGCTATAATGGGCGCAATTATGCATGCCTCAGTTCCATCAGAGGCAGGGCCGCCCGAAGGTTTCCAAAACTAAACCGGTTACCGTAGACCCCTTGGAGGCCCCCCCTTGTCTACGTGGGGTCCGGGGCAAATTGCCCCCTCTGGGCGGCCCTGATCTTACACATTCATTTTTGAATGTTTTTATATATAAAATGCATTAAAAAAAATGAAAACTACATATAAACCACGAAATTATAATCACAAACGAGTTCAAAAATGCAAAAAAAAAAAATTGTAATCCCGATAGCAGCCTTGATTCAGGTCTGAAAGGGTTGAAGAGGAGCAGGCTGGGAATGACCTTTGCAAAAAGTAATTATTCAATTGCGGTAGATTTTCAAATGCTCATTGTGTCTTCAATTGCATTAAACCCTTTCCTTTTTTTCACACATGTAGCACCATGCTGACTTCATATCACACATAAACAGAATCATGAAGCTAATAAATAAAAGCTAGTAAGCCTATAATTTCTCATCCAAGTCATCTAGCAGCTCCCTTGAGGGTGTAGAGACACAGTTCCTTTTAAAATTTGAATTTCCCACACAATTTGCAGTAAATGATTGACATATCCTTCCATTATAAAGTAAACATCTGCTACAAACTTGGCATCATCTTTGGCAACATCTGGTTTCGAAGCTAGGAAAATGACACAAACCAAACTTGTGATGATTTGGTTTCCAGAGCCTTGATGGACATAGGAGGGAACAGGACCGAAGAAAATTTCTGGGAGAAGGTGAGAGAAACAGGAAAGTTCAAACCACTGTCCACTCAAGCCGAATATCAACTTTTGCCTCCTGCAAGAAAGGAAAGAAATTATTATTAAAATGCATGTAGATCCTGTTCCGATGGCGATGGGCTTCAGAGCATTTTTGTTCCAATATGAATGCATTCTCAATAATTGTTCAGCTATTAGAGTGAACATTAGAGAGAACAATGCCCACAACATCATTCAAACCAGCCCTAAGGGATGATCGAGTGCATGAGAAACATTTGTTTCACATGGTCATTTCTGAACTGTTCTGCCAATCACAGAACGATAGGCAGAACAGTCTACATGCATAAGATAGTCCACCTGATGCCAGTTGTCCCTCCAAAACCAAGGATGTCCCGATTCCCTTACAATGTCAATGGAATTGTGGATAATTGTAATAGCAGTTTGCAGATAGTGTGAAGACTGCCCAGCCTCAAAAGATGGGAATCCCAGAGCCGAAGGGCAGAATGGTGGCTTCATAGTTTAAAAGGCAAAACTATAAAAACAAATTGAGAACATGCCATGCTGACTTACATTTCTCATTATATCTGATGCAGAATCCATGTTCATCCAGGAATGTAGGCAGGAAGTACCAAGTCATTATCTCTGAAGACTGTCATCACAAATCTCTTCTCCAATCAGTGAAGAGCTCCACTCCAAATGTGAATGCCAACCATGGTTTTCCTTCGTTTGCATTCCTTCTTGTGCACAAGATCATTTTTGTCATGAATTTTAGCCCCTACAGTGACATTGTTATATAGACCACTGATAATGTTTAACCATCTGAATTTTAAATAAATAAGTAAATCTGTTAATGATTTTTGATTGATTGCACATTAATTATCCTTTTTCTTCATGAAAATTACTAAAACTAAAAATGATGAAGCTAGACTCATGATTCCTCTTCCAAGGATAAGACATTCAGAAACAAGGTCCTAGTAGCCTTGGAATCCAGAGCTTCATCAGGTCCTTTGAATAAATGAGTTCCACAACCTCAATGCTGCAAATAATATCACCACACATGAACTTTCATGGACTGAATCACATTGTCTCAGGCCTTTCCATATGTCCTACTCAACCTTAATTTTCTTGCTTGTTTGAAAAAATTAAAGGATCAACTGCGTTCACTGAAATAATTGTTACCCCGTTAATGCTGAGTCCATGGAGACAGTGCGATGAACAGGATAGGTCTGTTCTGTTCACAGATGAGCCTTGGTTCAGCTTACAGATTGATTCTCAGCAAGTTCATGAATGGTGAGGAACAGGAAGTTTTCATTGTTTAACTTCTGAGAAAGGAATGGTGATGGTAAGAGGAATGGGATGAGATTCTGTGCCTCATAGACATTCTAATGATACTAAGCTCAAACCTTGTCAGTTTAGAGGAGGAAGTCTTGGATACTGAAGTCCATTGCATGTATGGAGTGGTTTCACACTTCAGAACGTCATAAATGAGAACACAGCCCCATATCTAAACTTGTTGGAACTTATAGTTTTGGGCACTCAGGATGACCCCATGCCCCAATGTATTGGGGCCCTTGGCCTTCCAAGATGGGGAGAAAGGGGTGATTGAAAATTCCAATTCTCCCCCCTTCCCTTCCAGTCAGTCATTTTTTATCCTTAACCCCTTAACTGGGAACTTTTGAACGCATATGTGCAGTGATTCCATTGAGAGAAGGCAGGTGCCAGACCGCACATATGCGGTGAGTCCATTTAAGGGGTTAGAGTACAGGAGACACTGCCCACTTCCAAGAGAATATCAATGAATAAAAAAAAAAATTCAATTTTTGGCTCAGGATGCAAAAAATAAACAACTTGGATTACCTTAGAAAGGAGGAGTACTACTCCTTGAAGAATCAAATATAACTGATTGAAGACCAATATGATGTGGGACACAGGCTGGATTGTGTCCTTCCAAAGTGGGATTTTTTTTAACTCATCACAAAGAGATGAGTTAAAAAACAACAGCAAACACTTTATAGCAAACACATAAAAATTTACCAGCATCAAGGATGAATGATTAAAGATGGCAGGCAAAAATCAACATACGTGAAAATTTCAAATAGTTAATGATCCAGCCCCGAATAAAGTGATTCCCATTAGGTTTTGCCAAATTGGAGATATGAATTTCCAAACTATGCTTGCAAAAACAGTCCAAACGGTTGTCACTTTTAAGTCTGACTCCAAGAAAGAACAGGGCTGGGGTCAAACTGAACCTTTGCTTGGTAGATGGAGGGCTTTGCCACCTTCCTTGAAAAATAAAGGACATGGCAGGGGAGGGAATAAATTCGCTCTTTATTATTGGCTTCTTTCTCCTACAAGAACAAGACATAGATACAGAGCCTGGCCTCGCACAATCATCATCCGACACGACCCGCCGGCGACTAGACACGCAGCTCAACGTTTCTCGACCTGACCCTCGAGGAAGGGAATCAAAATGAGGCCAGGGATTGAGAAAAAACTTATATAAAAAAAATAAACATCATCTGACGACTCCTCCTCATTGAGGAGGCAAGAAAAGCAAACACAGAGGATAGCAAAGCTAAGCAAGAAAAAACAGGTTGGAAAAACTTCCCAATATCAAAGACTTTGTACCATTCCAAAATAGGCTATAGATATTCTCTCTCTTCTATCTTTCAAAATTCAACAGGTAGTGGAAGGATGAATAACCAGATTACGACGGGGTGGACTCTCGGTCTTTTGTGACATCCTCTCCTGACCTTTCCTCATTCTTGCTTCCTCTTTCTGATATGTTCTCGCCTTTCTTTTCGCCACCTGTTGTATTCTCTTCAATTCTTCTTTCTTCCTCTTTAGTCTCAGATTTGGTCTTGTTCACAGTATCTTCCCCCTTTGGTACAGATTCCTTTTCAAGGCTCTCAATGGCATTTGACTCAGTATTCCCTTCCTTTGCAGCAGTCTTCTCTGCTTCCTTTGTAGACTCAATGCTTTCAGCAGACTTGAGATTCTTGGGTGCCTCTTCTTTGGAGTGTTCCAAGAGGTCCTTCTGGTCAGAAGTTTTTCCAGGTGGAATATGTTCATCACCTGTTGACTTCCCCTGGTTTTCTTGGCACAACAGAGATGCCCTCTCCTCAGATTTTTCTTCTTTACCTTTTTGAGGAAATTCTTGCTCTTTGGTAGGCTTCTTTCCAGCCTTGCTTGAACATGAATCCTCATTTTTAGGAGAGGAGCTGGCCGCCACTGGAGACTTCGAGGGAATGGATGGGGCTCGAGAAATCCTTGTTACGTTCCCAGGCATCCGTTGAACTGAAGGGGGTGAATGATTCAAAGCAGGCCTCATCCCCACCCCATCATGAAGGAATGGAGGGGGAAAGATGAGGGGAGGGGTCAAGGAACGAGGAAGAGGTGGGAAAGAAAACATGGGAGGGCCTGAGGGAGATAATAGGGAAGGAAGGTGAGAGTGAGTGTGAGGGTGGTGATGATGGTGATGGTGATAGTAAGCAGCTGCATGTGGTAACGGAGGTGAATAGGAAAAGGCACGAATGGGTGGCGGTTGACCAATGGTCGTGTATGTTGGGATTGGGGACGATGCCAGGGACACAAGTGTATGGAATGGATGAGGCGATGAGGGGGGTGGGGTCAAGGATGATGACACACCAGTTGGGGAATGCATCATTGGAAGAAATGGCAACAACATCCCTTCTGTCTTTAGCATTGAAGCTTTTGAGGGACTATGTCGAGCTGTTTCCAATGAGGATCTAGGGCTGTGTGTTCCAGCCATGGAAGACAAAGTACTCTTGGGTGTGGGAACACTGATAGTTCTGTTTCCAGTTGATGGGGAGGATATTATGCTCTCCAAAACTGTACTTCCAGATATCTTACAAGTGGAGCTGGCACTTGAAATTGTGACTGGGAGAGAATCCTTCTGTGTTGCACCCGATGTGGCTGTTACAACTTGTGACACATTTGGTATAGCTGAAGTTCTACTTGAAGTCACAGGACGGGCAGTCTTACTGCTCATGGTCACCTTTGTCATGCCTCCAGATGATCCACTTATACTAGCTGATGGAGTAGGGAGGCAATCAGTGCCACTGGTTGTGCCAGGTATTTTGGACGTGCCAATACTTGAAGGGTTTGTAATGAATGAAGTTGTAACATTTGGCTTTCGTGCATTGGAACCACAAGTCGTAATGGCAGGAGACTTGGGGGCAATAGGAATGGGTGCCATTCTTGGCATCGACAAAGTTGTGACAGTTGATGTTTTAGAGGCATATGCCAATGCATCGGAGGTCTTTGCTGTAACAGCATTGGAAGAACTAGCATGGGTGCTCAAAGATGCCTCTGGAGAAAAACCATCGACTGGTGCAGTGAGAGAGGAGGAAGCTGTCATGGTCACAGAAGTGGGAGTTGCAAATTTCAGTGTAGGAGTAGTGCTTGCAACTGGGGACTTGGCAACAGTGGTCAATGTAGATGTGGTTGCAACTGGGGATTTGGCAACAGTGGTCAATGGGGATGATACAGAAACAGTTGAATTTCGTGGGAGCGAAGCTGTTGAAGTCTTGACAGTGTAAGTTTTGGAAGCAGATGTAGAAGATACCACCAGTGATGACTTTGTTTCAATTGGCAAAGAAGATGTTGTCACAGTTGAGCTTCTTGATGTTACATCTGCAGAGGAAGTCACAGGCACAGATGCAAAAGCATTCAATAAAGCCGAAGTCTTGGCTGTAACACCAGTCACATTAGGTGATGCCACACTGCTCTGCAATACTTTGATGGACGATGGTTTGGCCTTGTGGGTTTGGGAAAAACTGCCAGCATGTTTGGGTTGCTCCTGGTCTTGGGTCCTCATCTGCATTAAGTCTTCAACATGAGCCTTCTGTTGAAGATATCGAGGCATGTGCTTGACTTTGAAGATTTTTGGTGGCTTGGGAAGTGTGAGCTCAACTGGAGTTGGAGCATTCACCTTTGGTTGCCCCTTAGATGCACTTGGACTCACACTTGGATTCCAAGATTTGGGCGGAACCTTCAACGTCTTGTAGCCAACTGACGCATTAACAGATGTGGACTTACCATCTTCCTCGTCTCTTTCACTGTCTTTCTCCCGTCTCTTAGATCCTGCTTCTCCTGCTGGTTGGGAAAAACTCATGATTCCTGTCTCACTGATTTGAAGCTGTACTTCCTTCCATGGCTTTTCACGGTCAATGCTATCACAGACTCGAGTCTTATCACAAGCAGAGGCACTCGGTGACACAGACACTGATGTGTCAAGGCTCCCTTTTGCATCACTCCTTTGCAAGGAAGGGGAAATCTCCCTATCACAGATTCTCTTCACCGGGGACGCAGACGCCAGGCCTTCGTCCTTCAAGCGCTTCTTCATTGGCTGCAAAGCCAAGACACCACACTGGTTTCTCCTTCTCTTCTTTCCTCTCTCCACAATTCGGAACGTAAGATCCATGGGCCCGATCTAACCAGAAAATATTAAAATAGCAGCACAGTAGGCATATAGCTTCCTGATACTTTGTCTAAACAAATATCAAATACATCACAGCACATGCAGAGGAAAATGAGGTTAGCCATAAGGCCTACCTCAGAGAGGAAGCCACTCCAAAACTGCATGAAATGAGATCAGCAAACCATGAAGTCAATCAGGTATACAAGAGAGTAGGCCTATGCAGAAAGACAGAGGTATTGAGTACCTTCTTCCACTGATGATTGTAGGCAATGTCAATTAGTGTGTCATCATCCACCAGTGGTTCTTCATTGAAACTGACAACAACTTGCCTAACTGAAGGTAAGCCATACTTGTGGGAGATGAGTTTCTTCAAAGACCCAACAGATACCATTGCAGGACACAAGAAGAACCTTGGAACCACCTGATGGAATGACAACAAAGTCAAAAAGTCATCACAACATTAAGTCAGCTGCACACTGATGAAACGTTTTCATGAATGCTTATATCAAATATGGTATGATACTTGCTTCAGCTCATTCTATCCATTGTTTTTCATCCAATGAAGCATGTATGACATGCTTCATAAAAATTTTTATCTGTGTATGGCTGGGCTTATCATCACAATTATATCAGACTAATCAATTCTGCCCATGTGAGGATCTACTAAGTTTGATTTGACGAGAAATATTTCCACTATGGTCTCTGGGAAAAATCACAGAAACACAGCCCAGTAGTGAACAAATGAAGTTCATGAGTTCAGCAAAAAGGACAGGTAGGTAAATAGGAAATAAGTTCTTTATAATTCATGATCCATCTTCTGCAATGAAGACGGATCATGAAGATGAAAGATGGATCCCCTATTCTATGAAATAGGGGAAACCTACAGGAAGGAAAAAACTAACCATGCATATTTCACTGGTAGGATTAATGGCAAATGAAAGGCATTTACAACTGATGCTGCAGGAAGAGTGACCAAGCATGGTTTTAAGAATAAATCTGCAAAGGATTTTCACGATGGGCCTCCTAAGGGCTGTAAATAGGCTAAGGCTGTCCGTAACCTCCCCTATAGCCTTAGTTTATCCTCCCAAGGGGAGTAAGTATTTTCTCAACTTATTCCCCTTTGGGGAATAAGTTGAAAAAATATCCACAGGATATTTTCCAGGATTCTTAGGAAGCAGAGATTACATTCTGGTTCATTTCCCCCTTGATTTTGTTGGTAAAATATTTTAACAAGAATGAAATGTTAACTGAAACTGTTTCTCTGTAGGCTAGAAATAGCTAAGGTAAGCAGAAATATTCATGGAATTTGGCAGCAGGACATGATGAATGCAGCATAGACAACTCACTTTCGTATCTGGAGGAGGGTTTTCCAATGTGAGGGAGATGGAAAAGTGATCACCAGCTGTATAGACAAGGTATCTTTGGTCAGAAGCATCTCCACTTTCTTCCTTATCACTAGGGGTGTTTTCAGGATGCTCTGCATAAAAGGTCCTCCTCCTCTGCATTTCATCTGGAAAATAGAATCATGAGGATAGGTATGAACACATACAGATAGGCACCATCCCCTGGATAATTGGTAGCACATACTTTGAAAGAGTCCTGGGACGAGCTTATAGACAATGTCCTGGAGAGTCTTGTCCACTTTGATATTAAGCAGTGGCTTTGCTTTATGGATCTGTACATCACAGATGGGACAAGATCGGCTGCTGTCCAGGTACTTCACCAGACATGATCTGCAAACTTCATGCATAAAGAAAATAAAGTTAGTTGAAGGTTTGCATAAAGCTCAAATGATTTATCTCAAGAAGCCTCAGAGACTCACAAGAGTGCAGACACTCCACAATGGTGGTGGCCTCAATGAGATACCCTCCACAAAGGGGGCAAAGGATATGAGGATTGATTTCATTGATCTGGATTCGTGTTGCTTTGCTCATTCTGGCTGCTCCTCTTTCCTTGTCATGGTCAACTTCCACAAGGATATAATACAATTAAAAATATATACAACAACCAAAGAAGTCAGCATTTAGAGACATCCTAGTCTCTCCAATCTAGTGATTCTTGATAATGAAGAAAATAAGACATGGCATATGGTATGTTTGCCTCAACATCACATCTGTAAGGGAGAGCAAAAGGAAATTCCAGGACTAGAGCCATAAATATCATACTACCATTAGATCAACATCATTAGGATATACATTCCTATTTGACAAATAGCTACAAAGCTTCCTTATAGATTTCATCTTTAATTTAACATATCCTCATAACTGGGCATTCATTTGTACGATTCTAGTATAGACAAAATTTCAAATATCAAGTCAATGTGTGCATATCCAAGTTAACCTTAAATTAGACTAAAGCAACACTGATAGTGATTTCAAGATGATCAAAAGAATACAGAGGTGAGAACACTTATATGTGAAATGTCATTTATTATGTTCTACATAATATATACTTTAAAAATTTGAAAATTGTTTCAACTGTGAGAAAATTTCCAAGAATCTCTGTTCTTTTTAACCTGCTCCTGAAATTTGATGGTCTTGACCCTTAGGGCATAATTTTTATTGAAGCCACCCTTTTCCAACAAGCCTCTTTATTATTTTTCTTTTAACTATTCCATCTATCTTTATTTTCCCATAAATAAATATATAAATAACAAAGGCATACTCTATGATTTGGTTTAGCAAATATCCTTATGGAGTCTATCTTCATTCCTCCACTACCTGCAAAAACATGTGCTCAATGAAAAAGGGACTTGAATAACTCATTAAAGGAGAAAATCCTATTCAGACTATGGAAAGAACCTATATCATGTGGGCTCACCACATGAGGGCAGATAATGGTACCATGGGTGAAAGCAAATCATTTAGCATTATGAACATCAGCTGGACATTTTATTTAATCAGCCTTAGGATGGCTCTAAGCATGCCACATCTGTCTCTGATTCTCATGAATCAAATGATAGGCACTGTCAGGCCCTGTTAAGATATCCACTAGATTTTCATGAGATCATGGGATGTCTGGTGAATAGCTTTTGTTACTCATTATCATACTCTAGGAGTCTTACAGGCTAATTCTACAGTTAGTTCAAGAGTCATTACTTCAGACTCAAAATTGAGCAACACGCCTTTCGCTTCAAGGGGAGAGTTATGACAAACATGCAGGTGCAGGCAGGGCTGTATCTATGACTTAATCAATCCTGAGATAAGCTATACCTAGGTTAATGTCTAATGCTACACTCTCTTGACAGGTACCATGAGAGAAAATAAGCTGAACTGAACCAATTCATACTAGGGAATGATTGACTTTGCTTAGAGACCCTGTTCACATTGACGTCAGATAAGGCCTTAGAAAGAATGCGCAGTTAGGACTAAAGCAGGCGTAGCATCATGTCAGGGACAGCCATCCGCCAAGGCCATAAACTGCGACTTTCCTCTTCAAACCCATTCAACCCGGATAAATCCTAATTAATCTTCAGTAGTAGGCCTAAGCAACCGACCCATACGTGAAACAAGTAACTTTAATATTAAAAGAAACCGTGAGATCGCAGACAGGAGTGGAAACTGTAGGCCCACGTCCCACACCATCCAACAGGATCGTGTATTACGCCATTTGTTGAGGGCAAGCAGCAGGGTTGCCAGGTGCCCCAGGTGCTCCCATCGCACATTTCCCTTTCACCTCCCCCAGGTGGCACGAATCTTCGCAGCATCCAGTGCTGTCAACGCATTAATACATTCCAATTCTCAACCCTTTTGGCCCCTGATAACTCGATCGAGACATAAGGAACGAAACCAGCTTTCAATCTACGCGCAAACCGCTCCCCTGCATCCATCGATGAGACACTTGCTGACGCAAGGGGAACCACCCAGATCCCGTCACCCCAGGGTAGATACGACAACCAGTACACCCAGCTGTGACCGCCTGTCCGGACTCAGAAGGAGCATGCAAGAAGTCGAAAAAGGTTTGCATCGCGATGGGGATACGGAGATATAATGCGTTCTTACTGCTAATTTTAATTAGCATGAGGTTTAACGAAATTCATATTTCCCAAAGTAACAAATAACGGTAATTAATATCTTTTCAGATAAAAAGGAACAGAAGTTGCCTCTAGAAAAACGAAAGCATTTAAATTAGCCTACATGTAGGGTAAAGCCATCTTAGTTTGGGCACTATCATGTATATCGTTACAAAACCAAGCAAGAGCCGTTTCTGAGGGTGACCTCGTATGTGTAACAATTTATTCTACGGTGTTCAAACTTAGATGGTTTTACCCTATGCCGTTGGAATAAATGTCAGTTCTTTATTTTTTTCCGGATTTTTTTTTATGGGGGGGGGGGGGGGTTCAATTGAAAGCTGGAAGGATTCCGAGCCCATGCAGGCAGTCCTCGACTTACGACACGCCTGACACAGTCACTCAGTCTTTGTTATGACGCCATTTTGGTTGTGGAAAACTGTAGTTTTGCTTGCATTTAACTGTGTTTCGATTCACGACGTGACTTTCAGGAACCAATTGTGTCGTAAGTGCGAGGACTGCCTGTATATGATTTCGAAGATGTGGAAATGCCTTAAATTGAAATTTGCAGAACTCACGTGAAATATGAGCAAATACTCAAATGGAAGAATAGGATTAGTAAATTTAAAAAAAATTATGGAACACGTACATAATGTACATGTACGAACATAAGGCTTTGCGTAAGTATGCGTATAACGTATAAAACGTAAAACGTTTCAGCATAAAACGTATATAACAAAAGGAGCGCAAATCGCACAGCTTGGATCAATGTTGGTCTGACGACACGCTTTTAAATTTTAACCTTGTTCATAACCGACCTTGCACTGGCTTTGTGGTATCGAAAATTTTAAACTTGAAGCAACGTGGATACGGTGAAGATAATGCACACATTGCTTCTCAGGGGGGCTCTGCTATCGTGATGAAAATTGCATCACTATGGTTAAGAAGAAAATCTTCATTCAATCACAGTCCACAGGTGCAGGTCCGGCCTTAAGGCTTGTGCCACATGTGCCCCCGCACAGGGCGCAAATTCACCAGGGATCCCAAAACGTGACTGAATGTATGACGCAATAACCGATGCCACCATCAGTTTTACTTCAGGAAGTGGAAATGCCTTCCGTTTCGGCGCCATTTCGGACGCTGGGGATTGACCCTTCCTCCTTCGGAAAGTGGGGAGTCTTTTTGCACAGGGCGCCGAAATGGCTAGGGCCGTCCCTGCACAGGCGCCGACTTCTAAAAAAAATATTATGAGGGCGGGGGTGGGGCTGGGCATAGAGGACCATGGGAGGGACTCCACGAAAACTTCGGTGTTTGGCGCCTTCACAATTACGGTCGTCTATTCGCCCACCCCCAAATACAGGTCCTAGATGGTTACCGAAGGACAAGGGGGGCACTAGAGTCCCCCCCCCTCCCACCCTATCGGCGTACACTACTGCTAAGATTGGCTGAAAGAATGCAAATACTGCATTGGAAATGATCTAGTGTTTTTCACTTGACTCGGACACTCGTGCATGCAAGGGTGTCGAAGTGAAAAAATGTCTGACAAAAGTGAAAAACATTACATATTATGGTCAGACCTGGCAGATGGTTTATCGACCGGGATAAGGTATAAACACCCCTATGCGCTACAGGTGATCCCCTATTTGGAGCACTAAACAGATAGGAAAATCATTTCTTGGGTAAAACAGTATTTTGTCTCCCGTGTTCAAAGTGCCGTACTTTTGGCGGACTTGGGCACTCTTGAAGGGGCATTGTCCCCTTTGCCCCCGTGGGTTCGGCGCCTATAGCACAGTCCCTGCTGTTGAGACAAAGTCCTGCAGCTGTGCAGGCGCAGATTTGTTTCTCCAATTCACTTTTTTTTCCAGCTCGTGAACATAAATTTAGCTGGAAACAACCTCTATCTGCACTTTCGAATTTATTCTGGCATCACTCCACATCATTTTTACTGTCATGTAACGAACTTCAGGTTCCAAAGCCTGGACACAGTGCTAAAGGCCTCAGATTTTGCGAAGATTGACTGATCTGTTCAGCGACCAGTTTCACCTTTTGCCTTATTTCTAGCAATAGCTGAAGTTCAGTGCAGAGGAGGATTTTGATATCCACAGAAGACAGCAATATTTCACACTTCTTGACAATATCCACAAGGGAAAGTCCACCTTCAAGTTTGACCCACTAAAATACAAAGATATAAATAATCAATAAGTTGCACTTTACATATACAGTGTACTTTCATGTGAACTTTCTGTCTCTTAGTTGGATAGAGAACCGATCAGGAGTGGGCAACTCTCTCAGAGATGCCTTTAGATGAACACACCATGGAATACAAAAAGGTATGTTTTCTCTCACAAACATCATTCATAAATGAATCGTACAAGAGCAACTAGCACAGAAGGACATCACCATAATGAGTCTACTATTTCTTTTTCATCAAGAGCTTCATGCTTGCATTGTCGAAGTCTGACTCGTTGATGTTGAGCATCAGTGTCTCTGCATTCAAATAGACCCTGTTCTGTGAAGCCGCAATCTGCCAAGGAACCATTTGAGATGCAATAATTGAACATACATCTAAAAAATGAAGAACTTTTTGTGTCTTACACATTGGTGAGTTAGAGAAAATTTACAAAAAGTCTAAGCATGCCTACCGTTCTGGCGATGGACTGAGCAGCTCGGATCTTGCGGAGCTTCAGGAAACCTGGATTCTGACTCACAGCTTCCCCAAGGTGCAGGCAAATGGTCAAGGAACTTTTTGACAAAATCATATGGCTAAATGTGGAAAAGACTGTCAAGTATGTGGCCTTCAGATTACCAAAAATATCACCCATTGTTCTCCAGGATGCAGATAGCAAAGAGCTGAGAGGAAGAAATAAGGAGTGGGATAGGAGGAGTAAAGAAAGAGAGAGAGGATATAGAGATGATTGGTATAAAGAAAATGTGTAGCATGATTTCTCAATATCTTTCCTCATCTCAGGTTCTGACAGATGTGGAGTGCTTTCACTTCATCATGCAATCTGATGTGTCCTCCTCTGAAATTTAGATAACTGAAAAGGGGAAATTCTAGGCTTGAAAAACCCCCTCATACACACAGGAAGGATGAAAGATGTCTGAATCCTGAAGAACTTGGGGAATTCGCCACCTCATCAGGAGGCAATTGATCAGTCTCTCGTTGAATTGGGACAGGGCAGACATTTCACTGGGTCAAGTAAGTTAATCACCTGGTAAGGGGCTCATTGTGAGCTTTTCCTGAATGCCACACATGGTGAATAGGCCAAATAATGCTTCTCATATTTCCTATCTTACTGACCAGTGAAAGGCCTCAATATGTGAGATTCAACTAGAAGACAGTTTGAGCCCCATTGTAGCATGAGAATCAAGTGAAATGAGTAAACATTTCAACCACATAATCATTTTAAATGATTCATTCAATTCAGTGTCTCCATCTTTCTGAAGAACACTAAAGGAGATTTAAATTAAGTTAATTAAGTTTGGTTCATCTTCAGTTTGAACTATGCAGTTTGAAATTCTCAGTCCTCTAAGTTTCTCAGATTTGCATAAGAATTATACATCTATTTCCAGGATCAATCCTGAACCTTGGAATTTCAGGTACAGGATCTCATCTTAGGACTTGAATCTGATTCTATAACTTTGAATTCAAATCCATTTCAAATCTAAAAAAAAAAATTGAAGAGTGATTCTCAGATTGGGCTTTTGTATCATACCAATGGGTCAGATTTGCAATTCACACATCATTTCAACACTGGCTGAAGGAGGCTTTCCAAGTTATACCTCAAAGTAGGCTTACAGGTTTTTCCATGCACTTATCTCCCCTTTCCTCAATCAGCTTCATCAAGCCCTGTCATGGAATGAAGAGGTGCACTAAAGGTTCAGTGGGATTGGAGAGAATTGATGAACATAGAAGGATCCTAACAATAATAGAGTTTGTGTTCCATTAGATGCTGTTCACTCCACATTGATACAAAAAACCTCTCACTGGACGACCCTTTCTTGGCTGTCTCATACATTTCAGTACATGCCCATTACAATATGAAATAGATATGATAACAACAGAAAACTAAATAAATCAGTTCTCAACACTTCCTGAAGACTAGCTCTCAAATTAATTCTTTTTAATGGCAACTCTTTCCAGTTTGATCCTACTCATCATGCAGGGTGGGTATTAGAACTTGAGATTTCAGTGTGTAGGTGATTAATTGGCATCACCTCAGCCCAAAGATGCAAAGAAGGAACTGTTTCAGATGATTTCTTGATTTGGTCATTTTTAATGCCCACAGTTTGGTATATTCCTAGTGAGCTTTGCTTGCTTGTGATGTTGCATTGAGCTCACAGAATATGGAAGATAACAATTCCATGAAACTAATACTTCTAAGCTAACTATTTATGCAGCCAAAAAAAAAATTATGTATTGCTCATATGGACTGACATGGTAGCAAATGTGCTAAAAGCTTTGCTACATTGACCAACTAAAAGGATATCATTTTGGCAGCTTGCGCTTCTCCTTCTGCTTGAACAATCTTCTGCTGTCGTTCCTGATAGGCCTTTTCCACAACAAAGGCTGCTCTCTGTGCTTCTTGTTGCGCAATCTGTAAATTAAAAAAATATTACAGTGTCCACTTCGCTTGCTTTAGTTTCCTAAGCTGCCACGAATTTTGGCACAAGATACATGGGTTGAAATCTAGCCAAGTGCTTTTCCCCATGTAGGTTACCTGCTTGGCTTCCACAGCTTGGGTGTATTCCTTGCCAAAAGTAAGGTCAGTGATGGACACATCATCAAGGATGATGTTGAAATCTTTTGCTCTCTCAATCAAGTCCCTTCGGATCAACAAGGACACCTGGAGGAGGTGGAAAAGCAAGATGGATGGAGGGAGGAGGATGATGAAAATGAATAAAATCTCATATCATGTCCCTGCAGACCTGCTGCCTCTGAGTGATGAGTTGAGAAGCATTGAACTTGGCAACCACACTTTTGAGAACCTCATTCGTGATGGAGGGGAGTACCCGTTCATCATAATCCAGACCAAGCTGGCGATACATAATAGGCAGAGCACTGGCCTTTGGTCGGGCCAACACTCGCAAAGAGATATTCACCATTTGAAGATCCTTGCTCCCCGTCGGTGAAGAGATCTTCCTCGGCTTGGCTCTAAACAAGCATAGATGAGATTAAGACCAACATCTTTTTGACAAGGAGAATGATCAAAGAGTTTAACAACTGCATTAATGTGCTGACCGTATATCATAGATAATGGGATACTGAAACCAGGGTATTCTGAAGTGGAGTCCCTCAGCAAAGATGTCGTTCTGAACTCCATGGAGACGACTGAAGATGATTGCTCGGTGACCTCCCTCCACTGGGATAAGAGAAGCCAAATTTCATCCATCAATGATTTTTCTAAATTCCAATTGGTCCTGGTGCAGGCAGATGAAGGTGGAAAGCTGAACATAGGACCCATGCCTACCAGTGTAGAAGGACTGAGAAACACCATAAGCTGCAGCACCAAAAACAGCAAGTAACTTGATTCCTGTTCCCACACCTCTTGGGGGTCCTCCACCTTTTGTGAACTTGCTGGCCCAATCGTTTAGTTTACTCTGAGCCATTTCACTCTGGGTACTGAAAAACCTATGAACAAAAAAAGCCTAGTATTGGACAGTTTACCTTTCTGCAATGTTACAAGCCTACTGAGTACTGCAGATGTGGACAACGACGACGGAGTCATAAAAAATCCTCAACCGGATCAAGAACTGTTAGTTGCTGAGTCTCTCATCACTGAGACATCATTAAATTATAATGAAAGCAGGCCCAAGACATAGACCTAACAACCAAATTTCTAAGGTATCGCGGTCAACATAGGACTTCACAGCTTACCCTTCCTCAATTTAAACGATTAACGGGCTCCCCAATTCATAGGCTCGATGAGGTCAGTCTACATTTAATGTCACGCGAGAGGAAAAAATGATGAAACCACAAGGGACACCGCATGACATCAACTGAGGCCGAAGCGGCTCGCCATTTTCGCTTTCACGATCCTCCATTCCACCAGATGTCAGCACCGGCAAGCAGCTCAACGACCAATGGGAAATGAGGCTGCTCCCGAAGGGGACCGCGGCAGCCTCAGTCGCATACGTTCGACTACAAAGGGTTGGGGCCGTTCACTAATTACGTAACGTGATTTTTAAACCTATTTGAACCCCCCCCCCCCCTCCCCCAGTAACACTATAACAAAAGCTTCGACCTCATTCATAATTTTGTTTAAATACTAAGATAAATAAACAAGTAAAATAATTTGAAAAAGAAACACTCATAACTAACACTGGATTGCACACATTGAGAGATGATAAAAAATATTTTTAAAAAAGGAAAGGAAAAGGTTTAACTTTCATTCGGTTCCTTATTCAAGGAAATCATTTTTCTTTGTTTTTGTTCATTTTGATTGATGGTGATCAACCATTTGAGATGTTAAAAAAGAGTAAAAGGAGACGGGGAAACGTGGAGTAGAATGGTGGAAATAGAGATCGCGATGCCGAGAGAGATGAACGATGGCAACGTCCAGCGGGTAACTGAGCCTGTTTAGCCTGTCTGGGCGGGTCCAGGCATGAAACTGCGACTTCGCGAGTTTTGCAACAAGGGAGAAGGAAGTCAACAGACGCCCCCACGCTTCCAATGCCCACTCCACTGTTGGTAAGGGTGGTGGGTGCGGTAGTAGAGTTGGCTCTGTGTCGTGTGAATGATTTCTTGCTAAACAATTACCCTTCTAATATGAAATTCCAGGCACATTTCTTATTTTTATATGAAAAAACCTGTTATTTTACATTCGTGCAAACCCCCTTCCCCCTCCTTTGCGTTACGTAATTTGTGAACTAGGTCGTCTGGTCGGTTCGCCACCGTTGAGGCACCCGGTTCAACGAGATCAACGAGGCGAATATGCCGTGGACCAAGAATTCTTTCGGATTCCAGTGAATCTGCCGAGCGAATTAATAACCTGCAGTGTTCTGGGTGTTGCTTCTTAACCTTGGCTTTAACCTGGGTACAAAATGTGCCCTTTAGTTTCATTTTTAGACTCCAATGACTTAACGCTATCTTCAGTTTTCTTCGAATTTCCTCAACATGATTTTTAAAGGCTAAGATGCCCCAATTAGTTCAATGTTCGTGCATTAAAAACAGCTTTAACATAAAGCACATCATGTGAAGACAAGTAGGGAAGTGTTGATGGTGCAATCGCTCCCAGACCATTTTCCCCACAAGTCCTTAAACACTGCCGAACAAGAGCAATTTCCAGTCAACCAGCTCAATATTTCCCCCCAAAGCTTCAACTCTTAGCAGGTGGGATCAGACTGGGAAACAGGAAGTTTTTAAACATTTTTTTTTAGCCCCTTCAACCAAAAAATTATTGGGCAATGGTTAGGCCATTTCCCTTTACCTTGCCATCAAACACCTTATTTACCAATAAATAAAATATCTACCCAATTTGACCCTCTGGATGAATTCACTATCTGTTGATAATGCAAGCCTCAGACATTTGCCATAAGATTCCCTCAAAAGCCTCCATTCAGATTTTTTTTTAGAGAAAACGACCCAGCAGCATTCAGTTCTGCAACCAATGGCTTCTAATGAGGTGGATCTTTAAAATCAGTTTCTCTGAAAGTTTAGAATAGATTACAAGTCTGATCATTCATACCACAGAAAACCATGGAGTACAACAAAAGCTAAGGAATCCTTGAGTCAAACCAGGAAAGGGGTCCAACATGGAACTGCTGTAGTTGCGGAATTAAATGAACAAAATGAACCAAAAAAGTCAAACTTTGACTTTAAAGAATTTATTCAAAAGTAAATCCATTCAACAGCAATGGATTAAGATGCTCTTTAAGCGAAAATAATTCCCAGAAAGTGAAATAAGTGTTCAATAAGGCCTTCACTATTTTGAATTAAGGATACCAAACACAATAGCAACTGGTTGATAAATATCCTAAACCAACTGAGGGAGAGCATACCACTATTGTAGGGGTTATGCTCACTTGGTCTATGAAGTATGGTGCATCATGAAGTGACTGACAATGTCAGGTGATACCTGATTATAAGGCACAGAGTTCCATTAGCTTTTTGAGTTCATTTCAACTGCTGGTTCCACAAATATCTATTTGTAGATCTACTGAGTGGAACACAAGACATAACAATGCATAAAATGGAGAGATGCTAGTAAAACCTGGAGGATCGATGCAAATTCAGAATATCAATGAAACATTGCTGAAATTCAGACCTCAGGCAATCAAGTCACTTTTCCAACAAGAGGGTGCCCCATTCCATAGGTCTTTGAAAATTCACTACATTGCATCAGAATACATGAAGTATCAAAACCCCAGAAATGTGACAATCATTATCATCCTAATGACAGAGTAGGGAGCACTTCAGGAAATTTTGCAAAAAGACCAACCAGAATCAGAGGGATTTCTGAGCAAAAACTGCCCACGAGTGAAATCCTATCCCCCAGCGATATCTATGAAGGGCAATTGCCCAGTTGCAGACATGTCTGCCAGCCCCTGTTCAAGATGGTGAAGGTCACATTAAACTTTCTTTAAATAGCTAATTCACCCATATAGTTGGAGTACTTGGATGCTTTGACCTTCGATGGACTTAACTCTCTTTCCTAGTCAATATTCTTTTGGGCCATCCTGCATATACAGCAAAGGTCCCGATACCTCAGAAAAACCAATACAGGAAGCATAAAATAAAAATCACAATCAGTCATCTAAACTCAAACAAAATACGAAATCCTGCCGAAATGACAGCAGAATTGTAGCTGTAAAATACAAGAATTCCGTTGCTTAAACCCAATAGATATAATAATTAAACCATCACATCATAGAGTAACATAAAACAGCAGAAGCAAACCAAGCGTGATAAAAGAAAGCCTCCTCTCGGCCAGTTGGTCTCCCTGACTAGAGTTTCAGTTCAAAGCCAACCCTAAAACAGACTAAGAGTCGTCACATGCGGAAAAACCGCATGAGAGTCGTCTGCCCCTTTGTCAGCGGAGCATCCTGCTTCCCCTTCTTCTTGCTCTTCTCTGGGGCTTTCCTCTTCCTCGCCTTATCGCCCGCGACCTCCGGATCATCCGCACTGGAGTACTCCCGAATGAGGGATCGACGGCCCTTGCACCTCGCATCCTCGTCGTTCTCCTTCCTGCTCTCTTCCTCGTCTTCCGCTTCCAGGCTTCTCTTCCCTCCCAGCTTGAGCGGCGGAGCCCTGACGGGAGTGCTCGGGCCGGGCGACGGGAGGTTCTCCAGTGGCATCAGCGCCGACGGCGACGCCCAATCCATGCATGACTTGGACCTGCAATTACATCGAGGCAAATCTTTCACTCGCTTCAGACAAGACAAAAAAAAAGAGACCGGTAAAAGCTTTGCTCCAAATCATGAGTGCATAGACCGGTCACACAACTGGTTCCGAGCTGGTCACATTCGCTGCCAAAATCTAAAAGCTTCCAGTCAATTCATCACGCATTCTTTTTATATTTTGCCAAAAATTAAAAAATACACAAGTTCATCGGGAAAATCCGACCATGGCAGTAGCGGCGAAAAAATATTAGAATGTGCAGGCCCATTTTTCTTTCTTTCCTGCATCGTCTGGAACATGGAAGGATGCGATCAAGCGTACGACAAAATCCTCTGCCACTCCTCCCAGACCAGATTCAACATGACTTTGTTTTACTGCATAAGGCGTACATGGGAATGCATCTTGGTCAACCCTGCCAAAGCTTCATCATGAACGAGGGAGAATCCAAAACCTAACGAACGAATTTTATTTTTCAAGATAACCCGAACATTAACTCAATTCTAGCCATCACAAGGACAAACATCTCACTGGGAAAAGCTTCTTTTTTTTTCAAGCTTTCCACGGATATTTGAAATCAAAATTTTTAACATCTTGAAACATTTCATTTCGTCATACGAGCTTAAGTGAAACACGCTTCATTCGTCAAGGAACAACTGCTCTGTTTTCGAAATTTGACACTTTAACATTCGGTTCCTTCCTCTAAATACCATTCTAGAAAAAAAAAAACCAGTTATAGTCTATCTGATATAACTGCTACGCCGGCATTGACTGTTTCTTGGTAGCTCATAAATTTTGTGCTGTCACCGGCCTGTCAAAAACGTTGGAAAGGGGCTCGGAGGCTATCGGTGGCGGACCTAGGTGCTCATGGCACTCGTCAGGCATCCTATCAAGATTTCAAAAATCATTTAAAACATGATGCCTGCCGCATGCCCCCACCCCACCCCCCACCCCCCCTCCCGGGAGCGACACACCACTGTCTGGCGGCGGGGTCATGGGAAGTCACCCTCTCCGATCGGGGGAGAGGAAGATAGATGGCATTTAACGACCCCTTTTGAGGATTAAAAGATGTAGCAAGGTCGGACCGGATAGACTACACGTATAAAAGTGACTGTTGACATCTGAATCACTAAACGGGAGTCGCCGCCTCTTCGGTCAACCGAAGTCGTCCCTTCCCATCTCTTACATGCTTCCTACTACGAATGACTTAGGCGGAAGGGCAAGGATAGGATCTCCCTTTCCAACGCGTCCTCGACGAGCCAAGAAGAGACCTCGAGAGACAGGAAGTAACCCCACATCACGAGGGGGGAAAAGTAGCAGCAAGATTGAAAGCCCTGTTTCCCCTTTGACGAGACGAGAGCGAAAGCCTTCAGGGGAGAACCTTATCGATCGGAACGGGGGGGGGGAGGGAAAGCTGCGGGAACCTGACCCAGTAATCAAAGAAAAAAAAAAAAAAAAACGGGGGAGGAGTTGAAGCGCACGAAAAAAAAAAAGAGCCCGGAAGCAAGCGAATCGCTAGGAAAGAAAATAAAAGGGCCTGCACATTCTTTTCTTTTTTTCTTTCTACTGCCGTGGTCGGATTTTCCCGATGACATCTGTATTTTTCTGCGTCAGGGGATGGAGACGTTTCGCTGCGGTAAAGAGAAACCGAGTTTCAGAAACCGGTTAGAAGAGGCTCGGTCGGCCAACCGGTTCCACCCTTCACGGTCGGGAGCCCTTGGTCGACGAAATCCGAAATTCATGAGCCACTCGACGGATGCCATCCGAGATGGCAGCATCTCTCCATATCTCAATATTTATCAGAATATTTATTTGTGCAAATCACGTCCGAGCGGCCCTGAAAGCGTCACGCCGGGGGTGAAGGCCGCGATCGCGAAAGCACCCGTTCCTCCACGAGGGAGGCCCGGTGGTTTCAACGGTCACGATCCACTGGACGGCGGGGTCGCGGGTTCGATCCCAGACACAGTCGAAATCTGACTTTGATTCCCTTGCCCTGACCTCTTCAGAATCCCGAAAAAGTAACACCTATCGACACCCCCATATCATATCTCGCTGCAGGTCGGAAACCCATTCCAACATTTTCTACGTATACCAAATAATAGTACTTGCATCTCCAAAACGGGATGGAGTTAGTTTTTGTCTGAGGAAAACAAAATATAGTTTAGCTTACTTTCTGTCCTTGACAGAAATGCAATACTTTTAGTTTCTCCATTGACATGATTTAGCGTTAAAAATTACCAAACACTGCTTCATTGAAATATCTTGAAGGCATTTACTTAAATCCAAACTTTCTTATTATTTTCAGTTTTTCGTGTCACACATAGGCTAGTACTTGATGGGTTATGAGTAAAAAAAAAAAAAAGAAAATGAAAGTCTGATATTTGCCTGATGGAAACTTTGAAACAAACATAACCCAGAAACTTGCCTTTTCCCCTTCATCTATAGCAGTGGTGCCCAACCAGTGGCCCGCAGATAAAAAGTGGCCCTCAAGGTCCTAACCCACAATACCCTCAGATTTCCTTAAAACTTTCTCCTACAATACTAGTAACTTAATATGGCCAGGATGGCTGTGGTAGTGAGCTATGTGGCTCCCTTGCTGGAAAGGTTGGTCACCACTGATCTATAGAATGAAACTTGTACTTTTTTAAGTTCAGAACTCATATAAATTTATGCTTCATAAGCATAAACTCATAAAACTTCATTGATGAAACTTTTCAGCATGCCAAAAGAGACACGCTGATGTCTATCCTGTGGATTCATATCTTCCCACCAGAATACTGCATTAGTAAAATTTCAGTCACTTAAGAATACATAGCAGAAATACAAATAAGAATACATAGCAGAAAAGACACAGTAACAACAGGTTTAACATTTGAGGTGCATAACTGTAAAGGGCACAAAAAACTTCAAAAATGACTTTTCACAAACAAAGATGAGCTTGGCTGAAAGAATTTCCGATGAACTCTGCACCCTACGTCACGCATTCCTTCCACCCTGATCCACACCGAGCGCCCTTGCCTCAATCAGGCTTACCTGGGAAAGGGGTTGGAATCAGGTCGAGAGCCGGGGAAGCGCTTCTCCAGCCTCTCTCTGAGGGGGAGGCTCATCTCATCCACCTCCACTGTGTTGTTCTCCTCTTGGTCTTGCTCTTCCTCTGGAGACCTGGGGAAAATTCAATGACTAGCCACTGCAACTTTCATCTTATCAGATGGAATCATGCTAGAATGAGGCAAGTGAAATGTCCCAGGGAAAGTGGGCATTTTTCCCCCACTGGAATCAAGTGATAAATTTCACATAGTTTTCCATCATTTACATCACATTTTGGGCCAGCAAATCAACATTACCAATGCGTAATATTGATCTTTTTGAGTGGATAATTTTTATACGAAACCCTTGCAACTGTGATCTCATTACTCAAATGTCTACAGCTTCTGTGAATTTTTGCATCAACTATCCAAATGCCACAGCAGCTTACCTGAACCACGAAAGGAGAGAGGGCCGGATCGGAGTGCTCTGTGTGGACTTCAGTTCATCAAGGGACTGCAGCAAGGAAAGAGGAGATGGCTCACAGCTCAGGATGTCCACAAGAGCCCTCAACACCTGTTCATTGAGGTGAATTTCAGAATACGACCAGAAGAGTTTAATCTGACTTAGAATGCACCATAGGTGAATGGGTACCATTCAGACCCCCCCCCCCACTCCAACAGTGATAGAATAGAAATTTCATTTTTTTAAATTAACTTTTGGTAGTTTCACCAAAATGTCATTCCAGGACAGAGGCTTCAGGCATGATGTGATAATTTCAAACTGATGATTTAAAAATGCATCAGTGGAAAGAGGCACCACATTGAATGCTGTTAAGTGGAGGACTGTCGTAACTTTGCATTGAAATGTAAAGGGGAAATGAAAGAGTTCCCTTTGATTTCTTATATGAAGCAATCCTGATATTTTCTGTAGTTCATGATTTATTATGCAAGTAAAATAGTGAACTTCATACACCCTGTAAATCAGAGACAGAATTATTGTAGAAATCGCAAGCAGTTTTAGCAAATTTTAAATTTATTCTGCAATAATGTAGGCTATTCTCAGAGATTTTAACAGAAGCCTAGCCCTCTTAGTGCCCAACAATTGTATATAATTGTCTGATTCATGCACAAAGTGTCAGGCACAATATATCATAGTTCTTGGAGCAGTGCAAACATACTCAAGTGGTTCACCTTAGGATGGACAGGAGCACATAATAGATTCATCAGAAAGCATTGACTTTCCTGGACTATAAGGGGGCTGTATACACAAGGAATTCACAGCCAATATTATCATGGAGTGATTATGACATAAGAAAATGAACAAACATTAGCAATTTACAGGATTCAAATGCATGCAAATCCAATTCATTTACTCTACAATTTTTCAATTGTATCATCTGTGTATGCTCTTCCATCTGTCATAAGGACAATTGGGTAAGTAGCTCCACCCTCAAAGTTGGTTCAATGACAAACATTGTACAACAAATTGGTTACCTTCAGGGTTAGTCTGCCTGCAATAGTTGCTCCATCTGAGATGCTCCTTGGTGACTCTTTGCCTCCAGCCTGGGTCACATCCCTCATGAGCAATATGAGCTGTGATTTCAGGTCTTCGATCACGCTTTCCACTGTGACTCGAAACCTGGGTCCCATTGACTTCACCAGGCTCCCCTGGACCTTTCTCAGCAGCTGGTTCACAGCTTTGCTGCAATGATGTACATATAGAATTCATAAAAGAGATCATGGAGCATTGGCAATTACAGATCATGAAAGAGAGACATGAAAAACTGCTTACATTGGATCAGGTTCCTCCTCAATGACAAGTTGCAAGGTCTCAAAGAAGGAAATAAAATCTGAGAGCGGTTTCAGATGAGCCTGGAGTGGACAATCTTTGTCGGGAGCGTAGCCTTTGCTGCCGAGTCGAATTCGCATGATGTGCGATGTGATTGTCTGAACAGAATGCGAAAAAATCCAATCCTCAGGAGTTAGCAGAAAAGTTTATGAAAAGCAATAGAGCTGAGTACAATGACACTATACCTGAAACATTGGCATGTTCTTATTCTTGGCTACCCTCTTGATGGATATGAAACCTTCTTGAGTGACCTGGAAGCCAGGGCTGCTGAGAAGAGTCGCCAGGGCGATCTCATCCCGCGAATTGACCAGGAGTCTCAGGTACGAGAAGACGAGTTTCTGGGTGTGAACTCGAGACGCTGAGGACTTTGGGCTGCCTTTGCTCGAGGCCTTTGATATAAACGCATCCCAAGACATGCACTTGGTCTCTAGGTCCGATTCTTCCAATTCGTCAAATCGGGTAACGTATACCTCCTGCACTGCATGCTCGAACATGCAACGAGCCAATTCCACCTCGTGTGGGCTTGGCATACCCAACAGACAGATTTTTTTGTCTTCTTTGAACAACAAACTTAGGCCTTTATCCCTGAATGTTTCCTTTGCAAGATGGCAAATGCTAAAAATATCAGTAACATTGGATGCATGCAGGAACTCCTCGTATCGCTTATACAGGTCATCATGCATTTCCATGAGACCACTGTCATGAGAAATGATGATCCCTCGCTTCCTCCTATCTACCTCTTGCAGGAAGTCCAACAAATCACTGACTGGGGCCTTGAACTCTCCCCATTTCTGAAAGGAATGAGAAAAAATTAATTTCAGCTTTCCCAAATAAATCATAATTCCAAAATGAATCCCACCTCTTTGTAATACTGTGCGAGACAGAGTTGCAGCACGAGCCAGCAATCATCTTGTCGCATGAGCACGGTCCTGCTGTTGGTCAGCAAATTTTCTGATCTGACCTTCTTCAAGCACTCCAAAGATATGTTTGGAATATTTGCAGAGAGCAGAGTCTTCTGTTCACAGCTGGAAAACTTCAAGAACTGGAAGTCTTCATCTGGAAATTTCCTTTCCAATTGTTGGGGATCATCCAAGTTTACCAATAAAATGTGGACTTCCCTAATGGTTTCCATGAGTCTTTAAATTAAGTAGTCTTCCAAAATTGCAATCACTCAACACAGTGTCTGAAAGAAAATCAGAAGTCATAAGCTAACATCACAACAGAATGGATCAATATTCATGGCAGGCCAAGGCCTCGAGCTAACTAACGTTAGACGTTGCCTTTGTAGGACCTACACAAGGCCAGAACTTCGCTCTTTAAACGACCAAGTTGAATCAATGAATCCATATCATCGCGATCTTCAAAGCACAACTTCAAAGCCAAGGCCTACTGCAGGCCTAGAATAACGTCCCCGGCCTACACAAAGTCCCACCACGTAACCTCACCGCACCAGGCCTAACCAGGAATCCCACCGCGCTCAAGTGTCGCAGGCACAAATTCAAAGATACCCGCTCTCGACGGGGATTCGCGAAAACGCGGAGAAAGTCGAGGAGCAATCCTAAGAGAGAATCTGCCGCGCACGAAGCTCCCACGCGCGACGGCACGTTCGAAAAGCGACATCTCTCCTTCCCTCCCTCCACCACGCAGCGACTGCTTCCCACCTTTCATCGTCGCCTAACGTTATTTGCATCCCGCACTCGAGGCGGTGAGGGTGCATCTCCCGCAATTGAACTAACACTAGGCCTATGGAGTCCGTATTCAGTACTGATACAATCGCATATTCGGTACTAATACTGATCGCTGCGCCCGACGCTCAGTAGGCCTAAACTCTACTCGTCCAGGGAAAATGGCTTTTTTTTTTGCTCGTTTCATTGTTCTAGGCAGCAATTTTGAAGTTCCAAGTCAGGTATTAATTATTGCAGTTTATTTGGGGATATATATAAGAAAAAAAAATTTATGAGCCGTTTTCAGAAAAACTTGCATCTTCGCACGTTACTACGAAGTAAAATGCTGCCGACCGAAGAGAAACCAACGGGGCGAAGCTCTCTCTCGCGAATTCACCCCAAATTCCACTCTGTCATGCCAATTCACTAATTCTAGAATCTGCTAAATACTGTGAAAGTTTTCGTCCCACATTCATAGTAAATAAAAAAAAATCGCGAGTTTAGAAGCATCATTACTCCTCGTCTCAAGCGAACGAAAACCCCGAAAGTTTTCGATTTCTCAGCCCAACAGCTCACTACCCAGCAAACAAGGTCACCTTGGACCAACGTTGTATCAACGTTCCGAACGTTTAATTCAATGTTGACTCAACGTTCCCCTAACGTTCCCCTTCTGTGACTATCTTTAAGAAGGAACTGGATGCTTTCATAGACAGGCAAAAAGGTGGGGGGCAATGTTGACGTTAGGTATTAGACAGTAAGCAACTAGGATAGTCAAAAAACAACAAAAACAAAACAAAACAAAAATACAAAAATATTTAGCTTTAAGAAGGTTAGGCCTACCCTAAAATTAAGGA